TGATTATCTACGCACTACTAAAACGTATTTGTTTTATTTTCCATTCTTACAGAAAAAAAAAGGAAGAAAAAATACAAAAGACGTCGGCGGGACTGGGTTTCGATGAAATTAGACTGGATTCACAGCATTTGGACATGACACACAGCTGGAAGACCACCTACCGTTAATTATATTGGCCATATAAACTGCAGGGTCCGGAAGTCAATGCGTTCACAGTGTAGGCCATTTTTCATGAGGACACATCCGTCGCGGTATTTAAGAATACACACATTACCCGCTTTGCTCATGGCCAGGGATTGACTATTATATTATATTATTATCCTAGTTATCCCGGTTTCATCTAATTTCGGTTTTTTTTTTAGAAGTATTACCATGTTAACTGTTACCGTTCATTGTGCACGGGAATGACCCGCGCAACCGAATCATTATTTCACGTTGTATTGTTAAATTGTAATAGTTATTTAGAAAGTTGCATCTGTCGTATCGTAAACTACATCTCAAAGTTATGAAATAAAAATAAAAAAATCATAAATACAAAATACAGTCAATTTCTTATCGAGAAAAAATTAAAAGCCTGATAATTCTATCAAGTACAATCGAGATTATCTATAATATCAACCGTAATATACACAACATTTTTATTAGGTAAAACAAAACTATGGATACTTATATTAATGAGTTCGCACCAGTTAGGTTAAGTTAAACATTCAACATTACACAACTTAATTACTGTACAGTTTAATATTAACTAACATTTAAGTATAGCTTGGCCTATGATTTCAGTACTAATTTTAAAGCTAAACTAGTTAATTATTAAAAAAAAAAAAATAACATTTAACCGTATTATTTTTATTTCATTTAATTATTTTTGGTATTATTTAATTACGCCCAACATAAAAAAAACAAGTTTGCATTATGTCATTATGATGAAAATAATGGTCACCATTCATATTCATCCTAAAATTTTCAAACAAAACAAAGCTAAACAAATTGCTTTCTATAGAATTATTTACTTTCTCGATAAATTAAAACGACTTAGCATTCATTTAAGTTTCAACAACAGCTGTTGTTTATTATTATAATTATAATATTAAACAAATGTGGTACTGACACGTTAAATCTACAGACTAAGTCACTCAACAGTTAACTGTTAATGGATTAAAAGGAAAATTGGTTCGACTTAGTGCATTTTCGGATAACGTTTGGGTTTTTTTCTTAAAATCTCGTTAATGAGTTACATCAATGAGACTGGAATTAAGCTGCGAAAAGAAATTATTAACAGAAATATTATACTGTCAAACTAGACGGGCGTTAAAATGGCCTATTTTGTCAACACTAGTTTCCGAAGTTAAAGCAATTTCGCATATCATGATTGAAATTATCCAATTTTAGTATCTGCTACCTGTATTGCGTAAAATCTGTGATAACACATGATCGGTTCAAGAGATGTTTTTTCTGTTCTTGAACTATTTATACTGGTTTTTTGAAAAACATCTAGGTATTTATACATATTAGAAAGGGTAAAATATTTATCTTGAATACAAGATATTGAATTATGACTGTCTGATTCTCTTTGTATTTAATACATGTATAGAAATAATTGTATGTGCAATATATTATATGGTTCGGATTAAGTACGGTGTATCTACTTATAGTAAAACGGCGTGCCGCCGACGTATACACATAGCAAGCTGCAGGATTTGTCAGGATTTTATGACCCGGGAAAACTTTTGCCAAACTTTACCACTTGTCCACTGGTTTTTCCACTTTATTATTTGTCGGTGTAAATAAATATATATTTATGTATTTATATACCTGCCAGAAGTCACGTCATGTATTTCCCTCACCTAACACATGCCCATTAATCGCCCAATAGTAAACAAAAAAGCAAAATTGTGATATACCGCATTAAAACCAAACGCGCGACCTGTCATTTATACAAAATAAGGTAAGAGATAAGATATAGGAGAAAGGGGGTAAGAGATAAGAGGTTAGAGATAAGGGATGGGGGGTGGGGTGGGAATGTCTTAGCTCTGGCACATAACCGAAAAAAGTGTTATCAAAAAAGCGTTACGCTGTTATTTTAAATTATGTGTTGTATTCACAACGATCAAATTATGTATAACTGAAAAATAAATTCAACAGCTTAACAGTCATATTCCCTATGAATTTTTTTAGGCCAGATATTATGAAAACACTAAAATATTAGCCAGAAACTTGATATGTTTACTAGCCACCTTAGGTACTAGCTTGTTACTGCTTGTTAGTACTATTTCATTATCTATAATTCCACCACTACACTAAATTTATTCGGTACTTCAACGAGACATGAAAATCTTACCCCTTCCTGTCCTAACGCCATAGAATAAATAAATATGAAATACTTAGCGGTTCCTTAAACATCATTTAGTAGTTCGTGATTGATCCATTCGATTTTAATGAACCATTAATCAATTATTAACGCAGTCGCGCATTAGCGTATTAAATTTATTTTTCAGACATAATATTTACACGCCTAGAAGATTTTATACTGGGATATTACCGGTCGTCGTAACCGTCCAGTCTAAGTATATATTGTAACATAATCATAAGCCCGAGAGCCGTTTGGGGTAGCAAGGCGTGGTTACACTAAAATCAACTCTAATGTTGAACACGTCAAAAGCACAAATTATGTAAAATCATTTTACACGCCACCTACATAATAATATACATATAGTCATTCCTTAAATCTCATAACAAAGTGACTGCCAATAAATAGCATACGGTAAGACTGAGGCGTGAAAAAGGCTTTGTTTTATCGATCTTTTTTATATATTTATGTATTGATTATAGGACAGACAGATGTTATTTTGAAGGTACGATACTCTATTTGTCCGTGTGTCTTGTTTTATTGTAGATCCTTTTAACATTGTTTTAGGTAAACGACCGTTTTTGTGTGTTTGCCAATGCTAATGCACTTATTACAAAAAAATTGTATTGGTTAAAAACAAACCAAGAGCTCGTTAAACTCCAATAATAAAAATATTTCACCGGTAGCTATTTACGCGATTCTGGGTTGTTCGGTTGTACTTGTGTGTGTGTGTGATAAAATTATTGTACGACAAATATAGGGGAGTATACAACAGAATTGAGTGGGCGTGAACACATAGGTACTTACAAACGTACAATATAAGTTACCTCCGATTCGTTTGATACGCTTTACTAACGACGATAGGGCAGAAAAACTATAAAAAGCTGAACTCCATTCAAGTATGATATTTTATTATGACACCATGAAGGTTATTCATTTTTTTGTTTTATTAAATAACACCCTATGTCTAACTCATTAGTATGTAGTGTAGTTAATAAGGTACTATTGGCTACTGAGGGACGTATTATTAATGTCTCAAAATATTCAACTTTAACAAGATTTATGAAGAAATACCTAATACGTAAATTAAAAACATTAATAATCGTCTATTTATTTTTGACGATGTTAAACAACCTAATTCTCAATAATCATTTGGAATATCCAATTGTAGTTCAGTTTAATGGAAACGATTGTATGATAATACAATTTGTATTATTATTATTTGTATAAAATACTAATCCGATGTACTTGCACTACTAGTTGGCCAAAAAAAAATCTCAAGAGGGATCAAGCCCGCATTATACGCATTTACATTTGATTATAGTTAACAGTTTATATTATGTGGATAATTTTCGGATGTACCTTGTACCCATGTCTTCAGTTTATGCTGACGTTTCATCGCTCATTGCAGAATCCATTTTCGGAGCAATAGCTCCCGCTATCGTGTGACTATACTGACTGCCGACTGGCTTCCTTGTTTCCTACCGCTATCTAGCACCCCGCTCCCTTAGCATCAAGCTAACTCGACCCGCAGGTGTCCTGTCGTGTCGCGTCATGTGGCTTTCTTTTGATAATGGTAAGTTGCCATTGTCAAAATAAATAAAAATTGCTGAAAAGGAAAAGCAGTTTGTGAGAAATACCACAAAAAGCAAACTGTACAAAGAAAGCCACATAACACACGACCATACGTTAGACACGGCAGAACACGTACGACATCCCCTGGTCGAATGATATGGTGCTTGCAAGTATAGACTGTAGCCGAGACAGCGAAACGGTAACTATCGCTTCGGAGGTGTATTACAACGAGACGAGTCCGAAACGGTGGGAAGACCGTTTATTTTGTGGGGCAGGGCAGATCTATGTTATTTTATTTACACCGGTGACTCAAATCACGTTTAAAAATTTAGCCCCAGACAGCAAAGTATAAAATTAATATTTAAAAAATATCGTAGAAATGTGTCAAACATTTTTTTTTATTGACATTTATTACTACATCTTAAAAATAACTGGACAAATTTTTTTTGTGCTGTGTGAGAATTAAATGATGTTAAATTATTATTATTTTTTATTTAAATAAACGTTAAAATTTATATTTTTAGTATAAACTAGAGTATATTATTAATTATTTAGTGTCTATATATTATGGCTGTAAAAGACGAGTGTAACATTTTTTTTGTTTAAATTTATAAATTGACACTTTTTGTTTTGTATAAACAATAGGCGTAAATCGCTCGGTTACCATATCTTGTATTACTCTTGAAATTATTGTACAATGAAAAATTATTTCAGACAGTCGGAATATATTATGATTTATTAAACAGAAAAATAATCACACAACAATGAATATATTATAAACATTGCTGGTATTTTCTAAGTGCTAAATTTGCAATTACTATTATCAAAGTTTAACCATCACACTAAATGTGCGTACAATTTATTTCTACAAATGTTATTTGTGTACTTTTAGACAACAAAACATTAATTGTGTCCAAATGTTTAATAAACAAATTTTTTCTAAAATGCCTTTATTTTTTTATAATTGCTATTTGTAACGTAACGTTTTTTTGCTGTAAGCTATAATATAATTTTGATATTTTGTGATCATATTATATTTATGTTTTTTGTAAAACTTAATAGTTACTATCTCAATTTCTATGGGTAGGTACTATAAGACGTGTCAGTAAAATCTAGAACGGTTACCCATGCTTCTTACGATCCTGTCGTTTAAACGTCGTTTGGTCAGTTGAAAAGAATTGTACTTGGCCACAGTCCGTTCGATCAACAACACAGAAAAAGATACAATAACGGCCAACAGAAACCCGACTAGTAACCCATCTACGTGGCTTATGGTCACTGAAATATCTTCGGCACCCGACCAAGTGCTGTCGGGGAACTCCTTAGACAACCACTTCTTTTGCAGATAATTTGACACGCCCGTTGTCAACAGCCGTAGCAATCTAAAACAAAATTCCCATCAGTCCAACTATTGAGCTGTTTAGTGTGTAGACCGTTTAACAATACATTATTATTAAAACAGTATTATTAATCAATGCTTTTGGATTACATACAACCCTATCTAGCGGCTGTACCGCGGTGACGTTATTGAACGGAACCCGGTCAACGGATGGCGCTATTAACCGATTAAACTATATTATTGGCATTTGGTTTTGTACGAAAAAATGAAAATGTTTCTAACGGCTGTCTTTTCCTAAACAAATATTTTAAAACTACAATCTTCTTTTGTAACTTTTTTATTGGTTATGTGTAGGAAATTCACCATAGCGTATGCCGGTACAGTGTTTTCTAATTAAAATAGGAGAAGAGGTGAAAACTGATACGTGACGTTATCTTTTTATTTTACTCGTACTTGATTTTAATTATTCAAAACTGGTTGTTCACCACTTGACTAGTAATTATTTTTAGGATGTTGCTTTAAGGTTGATGGCAATATAATCACTTTTAGAGGTGATATTCGTTTAAAGCAACATTTGTTGTAGTTATAGCCAATAATGTAAAATTTTGGCTTAATAACATTTTCAATCCCTAGATCTGACTTTAATAAATTTCTGAATTTTAGCAGCTTAAACTAGCGTAACCTCATATTTTCGTAATTTTGAAAACATCTTCAAACGACAGTCTTAACTTTGAGTACTAATACACCATAATACCTACAAATACAATGACGTCCTCTTAATCAACAGCGGCCCTGACAAAATAATACATTTGCGACATACTAACCAATATAAAAGTTATTTGTAAAAATAGGTTGATGTTTTTGGTAAAACTTGATAGACACCGCTAAAAAAAACATAACCTGTCATACGATATATCATTGAAAAAGCCATTGCGTCAGAACGCGGTACTACTGGGGCCGCTTTGTGTCCATTATTGTTTTAAAAAAGTACAAATTAAGATTGACCAAAATGTCGTAAGTCAGAAGTCTACCCCATTACTTCAAGAGATTTAGAACTATGGTAAATGACTCTAAATATTTGAGAGACCAGAAAATTAGTCACCAGTATAAAAAAAGTTTAATTTCAAAAGGATGATTTGTGTTCACATGATTGAAAGTCAAGGGTAACATGATATTTTTATAAAAATAACTGTAAAATCATTTTGGAAAGAAAGTCTTTTATACTATAAAGAAAAACTTAAGACTGATTAGAAGTATTTAAAACAAAACTTTACCGCTCTAGTAGTATTTACATTTTGGACATATTTACAAAAAATAATATAAAGAGATAATTACATATGATTAACAGAAGCCTTGTGGCGAAAGCCTTTTTTCATAAGAAACGATACGTAAGCCACAGCGTGTCGCCCGGCTACGGACACCACTCTGCAACCGTCTTGATCGTACATTGCCTTGGACATAATCATGGGAGTCTCCAAAGCCAAAACGTTATCCTGGCAAACAGACTTGGCCACTGATTTTATATTGCCTGCCTGCTGTTCGGGACAAGGTGCTCGGTTCACCACGTTCGTCCACTTTTCCATAATAAACGGATCCGTCTCCTTCACCTATACATTATAATCAATAATCGTCAATGGATTTTATATAGGCACAAAATAAGACAACTTTCAATGTTAATTAGTTAAAATATCTAAATAATATTCTGTATGTATTTTCTGACTTAATGCCTATCAATAGTAAAAAAAAAAAGTCCCTTTCAATACTAATAATATTTTATATGTACCTGTAAGTAGTTAGAATCGCATATAAAATGTACAAAACATCATACTGACATACTCTCTACACTTTACTATAATATAACGATGGAGTGCTATACTTCATGTTAAATTAATTTTATAAAAAGCATTGATGAAAGTGGTTTTTTAAAAAAATCAGATGAAAATATCAAAATTCGATTGTTGTATAATAAAGACACGTTCGATAGTAAAGCTGAGTGAAAATGGAACAATATTCCTCGACACCAAACTTTCGGAAAAATTAAAAAAAACCGCTTATTTCCTATATAATTCATATAGAAATTATACATAATTCACGAATAAAGTTTTAACGGAGTATTATAATTTATACGCGCATAATATGAGTCTACCTTGCAATTACAAATTTACTATCTCGGTTTAGTTTTCGTGTTTTTGGAACTTTGTCCTTTTTCCACTCAGCTATTCAATATAAAGCGCACTTTGAATAGTAGAAACCCGAAGCTCTCGCGACGGACGCATAGCGAAAATGTGTTTGACCAGGCAACGGCTTCCAACGACGATACGGCCATTTCGGTTTTGCCCACAGCCAACCGCGAAAACAGTACAGCCGAATAAGCCGTGCTCATGCACAGCCCAAATCCTAGAGTGACCCACGTCGCGGTCCTCACGGAACAAGCTGTACTGCCGGCCTGGAGTCCTGCGGACAATTAACGTTGGTTTTTTTTCTTTTTATAGTATGCTAGTCGACGTTCGACTATTCAACTAACCTTGGCTGCAGATTGAACCCCACACGACGAATATGCACGAAATGATGTTGGGTCGGATGACCTCTTCATCGTCAGACGTTCCCGTATAGGATCTGAAAACAAAATTTCCAACACTACTTGTTGAAAGTAAAGTTTTGCCGCCAAAAAAGGGATGGCAACGAAGCGGCGGCGGCGGCGAGAACACCGAAAACGGCGCAGTCGAGATCCTAAGGTCCTGGTACAAAGCTCGAGAGCTCATTGGAGGGGTGAAAAACGTTCAGTTACGCAGACACACGCACACACAACAGCGTACTATATTGATTTTTAGTCGCTTTTAGTGTGCCTACACGGAGCAGACACCCACTGTACTTCGCAGTAGTACACGTGTGTCATACTTAAATTTGCACACAAGATCGAAATATGTAAATACAAAATTGTTTACAAAATTGTTTGAACGGGCATGGCCTTAACCGGTAACGATGCTCGAGATCGTTAGGTCAGATTACAACAATTTTACACTGTTCAAAAGAAATTGTTATTAGTTTTTTTTTTTTTTGTAACTAGTAAATTCAATACATAAATGATAAATTGATCTATGCAATGTGGAAATCGAAAAGTGACCACTTGCTGACAAAGTTGGTTATGAGTAAAATACACACACATACGTAAAGTCAATTATTTAATTTAGTCAATTTTCTCTTAAATTGTTTATAAATCAATTAAGTTTCAGTAAATAGTACCAACTCATGATTTGTTGTTTTTGCCATAAAATTATTAAAAAAATGTAATAACTGCAAAATTTAAAAATAAAATAATTTGACGGTAATAAATCACACAAATTAATGAACGGTTTAAACCCAAAATTCACCTTCTATATAGATACCGCGATAGCTACTAAGAATCAAACTGATGACTGATGAGTCATGAGAAGAAAAAAAATATTGTAGGTCGACCAATAGCAGATGAAATTTGTAAAACTGAAGTTTTTTTTTTTTTTTGAAAATTTACAATGCGCCAGTATTTAACGAGTTGGTATATTTTAGTTGTAATTATGCTATATATATAGATACATGTGTGTGTATATTATAAGTATTACCATAATATTTGTATTGCAGTTCATATTCCGAATTCATAATTAGATGTTTTCATTATTGAGAAACGCGCAAGGACGTATTTAATTGTTTGCGTAGACATTTTTACATACATTAAAAATGTTAAAATATTAATTGACCCGTCACTCGTAACTATTTTAAACGATACGATTGCGGGTCAAGATGTCGCGCGGTCAAGGGAGATAACCGGGCGGGAATTCCAACAGAGCGTTTCTTAAATAACCGTATGTAAAACTGGACCAAACGGTATAAGAGGTTTTTTCGACCGAATATTAACGTTCACACGAAATGGCCGAATTCAGAGCAAAGTATTCCCTTTGTTAAATTATTATGATTAGCCTCCGCGGCTAATAATCATAGTTAATGGCATAGTCCGGCTGTATACGGTTTGGTAGAATTGATTTAACCGTCAGATCAAGACTCACCAGGCATTGATGCGTTTTCTCATGTAGGTAGTCGAGACCTCCTTCTAGTCAACGCCCATTTCAACGGTCTTTTGAAAATACATTTTATTGTATCGATAGAATCGGTGGACAAAATCTAAACTTGTCGAACGCGTCAGCAGAAAACGTTAATAACTCAATTCTGGAGTAAATCCATTGACTGTCATTTCGATTATTTGCAAACGGGCTAATTCGTAACAATTGTATACCTACTACTTGAAACTGTAGTAACAGTTCTGACGTGCGAACACTGAACAATTATATTAATACGGCACACCTGTCACGTGTGTTTCGATCTAGAACACACTACACGGTTGCTTTAATATTATAATATACGGTGTACTATATTTTTAACTGCGAGTCCTCTGTCACGTATAACTTTGGATAAAAACTGTTATCAACCGTCAGTGCGATAATAAATGTGGTATCAAAAATGTTAAACAAACGGGGTAAAAAAAAAAAAAAACAATAAAATGTATTTTTTTCGTTGTGCACAACAGTTCGAAATTATGTTTTTTCTTGTGTACAATAAAAAAATGACACCAACTATATCTCATATAATACGTTTACCCACCTGATTTTCGTCACCGTCCACACACATAGAGCGATCAGTAAAGTGGTCAACACAAACGCCGCCCACACCTCGGGACTCCAAGTGACTAGGTACGACACCGAAGTGGCCCGGTTCACCGTATATTTGGAATAAAGCTCATACCTATGCAGAGTTATGAATAATGTTACTACACTACAGCGGGTTCAAATATGAGTGATCCATTCGAACCAGCTCTTGGTGATAGGTATCGTGAAGTCAAAATCTTGAACATCCGTCGTGGTTACTATCACTGGTATTAATAGGACATCTGCAATGCCATCCTTCAACATGTCCCTGCCGACAGTGAATCCGGCTTGCGAGTAGTTGCTCCTGAGCAGATTATTAACCAACGTTAATTGTTTATTATTATTAATAAATATTAGCAAATAGCATGTACAAATTATAATTATTACAACACATCATAGGCGTAAGACAATTTTCCGTAGCCCCCCCCCCCAAACAAATATTTTATATGAGGGTTTTGTGGGGGGAGGGGGAGGGCGATTTGAGATTTTTCTGTATGATTATTATATGTTATGAGAATGTCACGCCTGCCAATTATTTTGTATTATTAAGGAGTTCGGTAAAGTCGAATTTTGTCAAAATTATAATTAAAAATAAAATGAATGTACTTTTACTTATACAGCGGCTAATAAAGAGTCATTGAGGGTAATTTTTTTAAATAGACTGATATAATAGCGTTTGTTTCTAACATATTTTATTCGTTTATTGTTTCTTTGTATTGCTATTGGTCGGCTATTGACTACCTATACATACTATCCAATTTTCCTGTAATGGCAAAGACAAAGAGTAGGTATTTAAATATTAGTTCCACTTAAAAATAATATATTGATAATATTATAACACTTTTTTTGAATATCCAGTAACATAATTCCATTTAAATTTTTTTAATATGGTGTTATGTATAAATTTAAACTTCTGTTTTGAAGATGCCCGGCCAAACTGTGTCTGACGGCTATCGATAGATTTTATTTTTTTCTAACGTTGCCATATTTAACAATTTTATCAAACGGTTGAACACTATAATTTGTTGCTATTTATCAACAAATACATCGGGATATGGAATTGAACGGAAATTCAACTGGTGGATATTATTAGATAATATCCTAGGTAATTTTCGTAATAAATTAATACATAATATAAATTATTAATTACAATTCATAACATTCTAGGACTACAAACGCCGCTGAAAGCTTCCACAGAACATTCAATAGTCAATTTTATAGCCCTCATCCAGTAATATGTTATGTTGTTATTAAAGCTCTAATCGGAACTCAATCAGAAACGGGTTTGAAAGTAGCTACAGTAGAACTGAGTAAAAAAAAAGAATTGCCGATAAAAGAAAAAGAAAAAATACTAGACATTAATAATAAATATATGTGGTGTGCCGTGTGTGGAAAATGAAAATTCGGTTAATTTATTAAAATATTTGAAGTATACTGGCTTACGATATCCAGGTATTGATATATAGGACAAAAACTATTTTTATGAACTATTTTAGCAAATACTTTTTTATGATTTTAAGACAAACACAATAAATTTAAACTTAATTAATACAAATACAGCTTTAACAATTTCATTTACTCAGTGTCTCGTTTTTTAAATATTATTATATTTATAATTTAACTTATAACTATACATGATACTTCGTTGATTGTAAAATATTTCAATAATAATAATAATAATGTCTAGTTATTATTTATAAAAAGGTAATATTATGTTTTATATATATATTGTTGAATTAAGTGAAAGCAATTTATAGATAAGTACGCTTCAGCGGTTAGGGCTAGTTTTCTACTTTCTAAAACGATTTTCTGCAAACACGGGCTAGCGGTCAGAAAGCTTAATTTGCCAACATGCTTGTTACATAACTTGATGTATATATATATAGCTTTCCTACAAGTGCATGTATTTGTCTGGAGATGATACAGTCATTAAACTTTGACGAGGAAAGCGTATTAATAATAATAACGGTACTTTTATTCAACGACATTCGCGGCGCGTGTTTTTAAGTCATCGTTTCGTCTTCAATTTACTGTCTGGTACAAAAAAATAAAAAATAACGTAACGTTAAACACCTCGTTTGGCAATTTAAAATTCGCCAACACACGCATGTATAATCGTTCAAATAGGTACGGAGATAATTATTTATCGTGACACGATACACGACGACGCACAATGGCATTTGTGTGTGTGTGTTGTCTCGGCTTTTGTTTTTACATTTTCAATGACACGTTTATTGTGTGCAAACGACAAGTCGACTAAAGCGCGATAATATTTACACACTCTCCGCCGTCAATCTAATAAAGACGCTCATCGTACAGTTTATGTTGGATTCGTCTCAGACCGGCCGACGTCAACACGTCATTAATGCACACACGCGATAAAAATTATTTGTTTTATTAACACTGCACAATAATATTGTATCACCGTTATCTATTATTTTTATTCCGTAAACGACCATCGTTCGCAGGCGGCTGGACCGTCGGAAATCCGTCCAAAGTCGAGGCATACATATCACCAACATATCATGAAGGGATCGTGGATTTTGATCCTTTGCTCGCTGTCTGCAGCAGGGCAACGAGTCCTAGGAGTAAGTCCGAGCTCCGAGTAACTAAGGGTGATCGGTGGTTAATTTTATACGATTTGTAATAATTAATTATAATATAGAGTATTTTCCCTCCGACAGATGATCCGCCGCCGTCACCCCCCGTGATACCAGCCCAGGTAAGAAGGATCAACTATGAATTAAACATTTTATCTATACGCTAGTAATGGCATTTTAAAATCATGCATTTGCAATGGCATTTGGAAAAAAAGTTTCTATATTTAAAATATACAAGGTGATTTTTTTAGGAAGGGTTTAATTTAATTATTGCATTTTTATTTTTCGTAGTGTTTTTATACAACGTGATCTCGATTTTTCACAAACTTTTATATTTTCAACCCCCTTCCAAATTAATTATTCGTACATCCACTTTTTAAAACTTATAACGCATATAATTTATTATATTTTTAAACTAAGAATAATTTACTGAAAATGATGACTGGTCGACAACCAGTTTTGAGTAATTACTTTTAAAATTTATTATAGTTTAAATGTTAAGACGGGTGCGGAAATGCGGTTGAAAAATTCGCCTTGAGAAAATTAACACTACACTCCACCCTTCCTCCCGTCCTAAACTTTAAAAATAGTTGTACAAAACTGGTTATCGACTAGTCAACATACTTGGTAAATTTTATTTTACTTTTGATAAAATATATGTATATATGTTTGAGTTTCAAAAGTTAATACTTAATATAAAAAATAATTAATTTAGAATAGGGTTAAAATAAACGTACAATTTTGTGAAAAATTGATATCATAGACTGTTGTATAAAAACATTTTGAAAAATAAAAATTAAACTACTAATTAATTCACGATATTTCTTAAAAAATTATTTTTGACAAATTGCTATACCTACATTCGATAATAAAATGTATTGCCAATAACAAATGGTTTGTTATCAAACATTTATTTTCTTAAACAAAACAAAATGTTATCATATATTGTTTTCTTTCCAACTAACAAAAACAACATTTTTGTTGGGCGAAAAAAAATAAGTCAAAACTTATTTGAAAAATGTGACATTTTTGGACAAATTTTAATTTACTTATACATCAATTTGTAAAAGGCCTTTGCACGAAATATTGTGGAATAATGTATTTTTTGCTTACATCATGAATTGATGAGTTAAACTAGGATTTTTTTAGATATACGATTCAATATACAAGCATGAAGCATTTACTATACACACTGTGCAATGTGCATGCAAATCCTACTTTTTTCACTTTCAAATTAAAATTCAAAAATTGTTTTTTTATTTTATTTATAAGGTTTTAACTAAATAACTATTTAGATTCATATTTGTAAAGAGTTTTCTAAATATTACGTACTAGTAATGATTATTAATTATTACTATGAAATAATTGTTTCAGCTGAAAATGATTCAAATATAATCTTGATTTTATTAAAATGGTTTTTTAGGGTAGTTTTGTAGTAATTTTAAAAAGTTAAATAGCATCCTATTTATTTCATATACTTTTTAAAATTTTTAATCATTGAAAATAACGACTGGTTGTTAAAAACTAGTATTGAATAAAAACTTCTTGGCTCTAGTAGTTTTTAAGGTATAGGTATAGCGGATTGTTGGGTAGATGACGAAGCTATTTTTTTCCTTCTTTTAATTTCTATTAATTACTTCAATATTATTTATTAATAACTGACTATAAAACAGTAAAATTTCACATTGCATTATCAAATAAATACATTTTTTCAAAATAAAAATTACTAGACCATTGAATTTTCATAGCCCTATTTTCTATATTTATACGGCTTTTAAAAAGTAAAAAAGTTTTTTTTTCTGAAACCGGATTTTTATTTTCCCACCATAACTGTGCAAGTGATTAAAAGTTATTTATAATATGATAATACTTTCAGAACAACAACTGGCCTATAACCGTTGAAATCACTCCTATCGTAAAATCGGCTACACCGATTGTAGTTGAGGAATTAGCTGCTACGGAATTTCACTCAGAGCAAAACCCCATAAGGCCAAAAGAATCGGAAGTTAAACCAATACCAGAGCAGCAACCACAACCGGTACCGCAACAGTATCGGCCACAGCAGCAAGAACAGCGACCGGAAAACAATCAGCAAATTCAAGTTCAGCTGCGAGAACAGCAGGAACAAATCCAGCAACATCAAGTTCAACTACAACAGGAACAGATCCAGCAACATCAGGTTCAGTTGCTACAAGAAAAGCAACAGGAACAGCACCAACAAGACCAAATTCAACAACAGAAAGAACAGCAACAGGAACAGAACCAGAAATATGGAATTGAACAGCAGCAAAAACCAACAGAAATTATTATAACCAACACATCAAACGGTGCATCCGTATTGCCGCAGTTAACCATTGGCGATATAATTATGGGTAACAGTACATTACCAGTAGGTACTAAAAATTCTTCCACAGGCAATTGAATGTAAAATAAATTTCATAGCTTTGACGCGAAGCCGTTTATCATTATGAAAACTAATTATAACTTATAAATAATAAATTATTTATTATGACATGTGTACTTGACAGATAGTTGCTCTTCAACGATTTTCCAAATTTCACCCACAAATCCGGAGATGTTGTAGATTATACCATTATTGTGTTTGTATAAAATCAAGTATGGAGACATCTAATAAAATATTTCTAAATCAATTGAAATGGTTGTACAATGTAAATTTAATGATACGTTAAAAACAGTGTGTATAAAATTGTTTTGATGTTTGACATTTTTAAATAATTAGTTTTTATAAAGCTATGCATAATTGTAGCTACCATTTTTTGTTATTACCACTTACATTCTCAACGATGACGTTGACTGTATCGGACATGTTGAAGAATACTAATACAAGGTTTTTTCATTTGTACACAACCAAAATGGCAGTACAAGTTTTATTATTAAATTGATGTACTACAGATATCATTTTGACAGCACTGATCTTATAATTTGATAATAAGTTTGAATGCTTTATTCGTTATTACATCGTTATTTAATTAAATCAAAATGTTAGGGTTGTCATAAAAATCAAATAATCTTATGAGAATATTTACACATGTGGTGGAATAAATTAAAATAATATATATATAAAAATATTTGATATAAATGGTGTATAAAAAAAAAAAAAAAAATACAGCAATTAATTATTGAAACTTAAATTAACAATGAAATATAAATTATATTATATTAAGTATTAAACATGTTACTTATAAGCCTGATATGTATCTAATCACAGCTTTCAATGAATTATTTATTCATCCATGTGATATATGAACGCTAATAAACCTTGAACATCTTTGTTCTGGTTGTATAAGGCTCCCGCCTTGACGATTAATTGATTACTCGGTGTAATACCTATAACTGAACACAATCAAATTAAATAAAGAAGTGGGACTTTTTAATTTTATGGTGATAAATATTCAAAAATATTTTTTTTTTTTTTAATAAATTTTTATATGCTGCACTTATAAGTGAAAACAAAGCGTCTCTAACACAAATATTTAACAATTTAGACTATTGAAATAAATATAAAAATATTTAACAATTGTGTTAACCGCCGTTTGCTTGAATTTAATTTATGTAGAACCATGCAAGGAATATTCATTACATAAAAAATATTGGCCTCAAATAACAGGAAGTAAAAATATTAGGAGTCTTAAGTTAAATCTAACAAAATCATTTACGACCTTTAAAAATAATACTTGTTGATAAAATGTAAATTGTATAACAAAAGAAATGGTAAATAAGCTTTTTTGGTCTTACTAAGAACTTGTTTGTTTTATTAAAGCATAAATATACATTTTTTATTAACATCAGTGGCATAACCAGGATTTTTTGAATGGGGGTGTCCGCCAGTAAAACTAAGGTTGAAAACATGCTTAACCCTTTGACGTGGAAATTAAGAAACCACAGATACTACTCAAAAGAATAATGTCTGTCTATCAATAACATAGTCCAAATTACAGCTAACAGAGTGAAGCGGGTGATAATTCACCCTGGGTTTTTATAACATCGCTTATTAGATAACAACTTATACAACAAAAAAACTTTGGCGGTAAAAATGGATATACTTACTTGGCAAAACTTTTAAAAATGTATATTAACATCATTGCTTGTCAAAGGGTTATAAAACGGTGTGAAGAAACATAGAATAAAGTTAAAAAAACCAAAACGGAAAACGATATAGTATGACTTAAGAGGAAGCTACACCGCTCATTTCTAAGGAGTAAGGTATAGGCAATTTTTTGCAAGAATTTTAATTTAGAGTTTAAACTTTAGTATATCGTTGTTGCCGCGAAAAAAACTCCCATGTGCAAAAACCTAATTGTTCAGGAGACTAACTAAAACGTATAAAACAATTTATAGTAAGTAATACAAAGGAGATTTTAATATTTTCCATTTAATTTTCAATGGAGATAGCACGTTGGAGATTTTATCATATGATAGCTTATTTTTTTCTGTATTCAAGGATACCAAAACCTCAAAATCGTAAAATTGGCACAGAAGGTTTTTTCGCGGTAACGACGATAATACAGTTATTAATACAGTGGTGAGGATTTTTTATTTATGCCGTAGTATTTTTTTATTTTTTTGGACTCTGTCTAATAAGATTTATAAATCTACTAAAACAAATATTGAGATATGGCTTACGTCTGAAATCATTTTTGTCTTCTTTAAAAACAACAGAATAGTTTTTATGGTTATTGGAATTTTCCATAGTTACTTCAACAAGAACAGACAGATCTTCATATTTAATTTTCATAACAATCTGCATAAAACGTTCGTACATGTTAACACCAGCTTGGAACGATTTTATTTCTTTCTTAAGTTTCTTGAGCAACTCTTTTTTATCTGTAAATATAATTGTTTGTTACTCAACAATAATAAGTTGATGATTTTGAATAATATATTTTACCTCTTGACACTTGATCCAATTCTTCTTTACTTTTAGCAACCATATCCGACAAATTCTCTTTTTCTACTTCTAACATTTTGCATTCGTTATTTGTAGCATCCAAACGCTCATTTTCTGTTTGTAAGGTATGCCGATCTTGATCCAACTTTTCTGTCAAATATCTAAGTTTATCTTGATTACAATTGAGCTGCATTTTTGCTTCGGACAATAATCCTAAGGGAAGGAAGACATTGCAATATTACTATAAATACAAAACTATATATCGTGTAATTCTTACTTGTCTCTCGGTAGTGTTTTTCTACTTTTTGAGTATATACATCCGATACTTCATTCTCCAAGCATGTTAATTTGTTCCTGAAGTTTATAAAAAGATTTTCTGTTGAAAACTTGTGATCCAAGGTAATACTGTCAATATCTATGTTTAAATGTTTTGTCATAATGAATAAGTTCACTGAAATATAATAATTAATATATTATTTAATTTGTTTATAGTAAAACATAATGTTATACATATTATATAACTTATTTATATTTTATAACAGTATGTACAAAAATATAATTGGATACCTAAAATTTTTTTAATTTACTTGATTTTAATCTAATCTTATTTTGTACCTAAACAATTAAAAATTACCTTATTATATTTCAAAGCTTAATTCCAAAAGAAAATGTCAAAAGTAGCAAATTCAAAATTGTCAAATATTATTATTTAACTTTAACCATTATAAAAATAACAAAATATTGACCTAGGCCTTTATAATAGATTAACGGTAGATTAAATTTATGAGCAATGCTTGTATTATATTTACTTAAGTCCTTTTTTTTTTATAGGCTTTGATAATAATCTTATCACAGATTAAATGTTTCATGTAATCTGGGTTTATTACAGTAAAATCTAGAAGTGAAGATATTACATTAATTAACTAAATGTACAGATGGTTACCTAATATCAAGTATTTCCTATCCATATTGTATAATATAATATAATCTATGATGGGGAAAATTAAACTGCTCAGCAAATAAGTTTTAAAAATATTAATATAATTCATAATACTTTGCGTGTACGCATCAATATTTATTGTTTAATGTGAAAAGCATAAAGGGCCTTGTCAGCATTTTCCAAAATTTAGTTAGTGCTATTTTTGAGTCTTGATTGATTTCTGATCAAATTGAGACCTGGTTTTTTTGTAGCTAAAAAGATGGCTTGAGTTAGCACTTTGTAGACTGCAAATACAATTGTGTATCTTTAAGCAAATTTTTTGACGTTTTTCTCCAAATAACTTTGCCGACAACAGGCCTTTTTTGCTCTCCACATCATATATTCATCACTTACCAGTCGCAGAACATATATATAAAATCCGGTGGAAAACGTTAGGCAAATTTAGGTTAAAACTTATATGTACACAGCCACTATAATTTACAAATGTAAATGAGCTACGAGCACGAATACAAAAATCACAATGTTTTATTCGCAATTAAAAATTCACAACACAAGACTGAATACACGAAAAATTAAAACCATTCAATGATAAGTAAATGAAATCACAAAATGATAACGGTCTTTTTTAAAATATGTACTTTCTACGCATGCGCGTGCCGCGTTCTTGGCAAAATAACAAAGAAAAGAGAAATTCGCAGTCAGAAGAAAATCTTAAGCAAATCGTCATAACAATCTTCGTATGCATATTTTTAATTTAACTATATACCTAGTTGTTACATTATAAGATATGCTAAATATGTGGTTATTTTCTCCAGACCACGTAAAGCCTTTAAAAAATATTACAATATCAATTACGGTTGTTTGATTACCGAAATGTCGAACGCCATCTATCGGTTTCTGTCCGTTAATGTTCTTTTTTTCTGTCTGTGGTAGACCGTAGAAGAAAGGTAATTTATGTTATTATATTATGTTTATTTCCACTCTGCTAATTGCTTAATCTATTAAAACCAGTTTTTGAGAAATAGAAACTAAAATAAACTATGAAATTCCGTTGAAGTGTTCTTACCTAAGATTAACTCTCGTGGAATTTAGTATAATTCCTCAAATGGAAACAATTAGATCTCTAAACCTAAGAAGTTATATAAACTGACTGAAATTCTCGTGAGGCAAGTCTAGTTCAATTCCTGGCCGACTTTTTTTGCATTATTTTTTTTCAAACGGTTATTCTCGTATTTTGCTTGCGCCCTTTAACGGATTTGATTTAAATAAAAACTAATATAATCCCTAAAGTCAAATGAGTATTTAAACCATTTCATTGGCCAAGGTTGTTTCGTACGGGATCTGCGGAAATAACTCAAAAATCAAAACTCCATTTAAAACTTTTACTAATATTATATTTAAAAAAACATTTATAACAGTTACATTTATTTTTTAAGGTAGAAATTAACGTTTTCCTCTTGAGCTTACAAAACAAATTGTAAAATAAAAATTATAATAAACTAATAGATGGAGGGATCTATTAGTTTATTATAAAAATTCTATAAATAAAAAAATGGTTTAAAACACTTAAATTTCTTTAAAAAATGTTAGCGTGTCGACATGAATAGCAGTGATAACAAAATATTTAAAAGTATGCAATAGAGACATTTCTAATGAAGCCACTAGTGCAACATTAGGTAATTTTGCTTTTCTTTCAAATTTTAAGGAATTGTACTAATATTTTTTAGATGATTTTCCTATTCTACGCTCGCTGTATAAACGGACACTGGCAAACAAACAAACACATATTTATGTTCACGAGATAAAAATTTAATGTAAAAGTATTTAATATTTTTCATTTTTTAAATATTATAAATATTTATAGTATATAGATTTAATATAATGTAAAATGTAAATATTAATACACTTAGCCTAAAATATGTGTTAGCTTAATTTATTGTTCCTTAATTATTTATTTTTTTTTGCAATGGTTATTTTTGTTTAATTGCGTCTACTATTAGATTCATATCGAATTCAGTTTAAAAGTTATTATAAACGTATAAACATGAGTACTTACTTACTTAACATTTTATTATCGAATTGTTTCTACGAAAAGTCGAGACTCATAATAATTGTACTAATTTTCCAACATCAAGCTTATAAGTATACATTTATAGTCAAGCAGAAGGTAGATCTTAACTATAAAAATTTTTAAATGTCATTATTGTCTTATTTATGTTCATAGTTAATATACAATAGGTATCAGAATTAAGTATAGGATCAACCAATCAGGATTAATCAATTTTTTGTATAAATCATAAAGCGTACACGAATTAGTTTCAATATTAGTATATTTGACCGTAACTTATTTTAATGCGACAAACAAAATCCATAACAAATAAGGATGTGCTACGATCGCAGGCTGCCATCTAAACTTAAGCCACTTGAGGCACTGGCAACGGGTATCCTTGCACTTTGAAACCGTCTTTGCCGGCAGTGTAGGTCATTTTCACTTCAACGCCGTCCGGAGTGTAGAACGAGTAAGTGCCCTTTTGTTCCAACACGTAGCCGTTTCCCTCGTCGTTGGCTACTAAAGCTCCTTGTTTCGCTTGTCTGATACCGTCGGCGGTCTGGTACCTGAAATACAAACACAATTCGATTACCACCATACTGTCTATAATGTATTCTGTCGTCTGAAATAATTTAGAAACCGACAACAACGAGAATTGTCCCGCTTCGTCGCTGACATGATCGTTTTGGAGGAACTTCACGGGTGGTTTAATCGAAGAAGGAGCATAATAATTGTCATTTTGGATATCGGCGGGCGAGGGCGCGGCCAGGCAGAAGTTCACTAGGACAGCAGCAACGGCTAAAACCTTATAGAAAACAAAAGATAACACAATATGAGACTATTTCTAAGTTTGTCGGGATTTACTTACGGCGAACATGTTGCAAGTTAAATTTTTCATTCTACGATATGCTACCGTGCTAACCAACAGTCGTCGACTGACATTCAAATGAAACAATTATTATCTTTTTATATAAAACAAACTGGTTAATAAAAAGGGGGCTAAATAAAATTGATTTATAACACACAGTTCTTTACAATACACTTAAAAAGCCATTAATAATAAGAGTTTTTAAAATAGTAATAGTACCTTTATGAAATAGCCAGGATTGGGCAACTCTATGCATAATGTACGCATATACACTAGTCATGTAATCGTTATATAAATAAACTAAGGTTACTATGTTGCAATCGCATTAATTAAAGTAAAATGCTATGTGTAAAAGTCAAAATACGTTTTCCGCAGGCATTTTTTTAAAATGAGCACAACAAATATTTACCTCATATATTCCACTAGGCATTAACGTTTAACACCAATATAATGATGATAATTTATAATTAAGTTTAAGAATTCGATTGGATTTTTAAACAGTTCAGTTTTAAAGAAACGAGGGAGCTGAGGAGTAATATGATTAATGGGATAGTCACATAGACACATATTTTAAGCATCAGCAAGAAGATTTTGATCTTACAATGGTTTTGCGTTGTATTGTAACCTTTTATTATTGAATTGAATTTAATGTTTAATTTAATAATTAGTAAACGTTAACATCGCAATATGAAAAAATTGTATAGTGATAAAATCGTTTTTTATTTTTTTATTAAAAATAATAATATTATTGTATTAATTCTAGATGCTACCTCTTGACTAGGGATCTAGACTAAATTATCTAATAATAAATTAGCATTATATATTCATTCATACTATATTTGTATCTTTATAATGTTTTTTTAACACACTTATAGCTGGTGATAGAAAACATTTCCATTGCTCTGGCGTCCTGCGTAATACTTTTATAAAAACCTGTGTAGTTTATAAAATTTCTCAAATAACAACTAAACAAACAATATATTATATTATATTGTCAATATAATCCTTATAAGTAGAAATAAAAACCGTTTTTTTGTAATTATATTTGCAAATTGTGTAAATTATACCAGACTCCTATAGAAAATTGTAAAAAATCTTAATACCTACTTCACAGTAGTCTATTTAATTTGATAGAAATAATATTTCTTTTATAACACTTAGCCATTATTATTGTAGTATTTTTACTTCGTTGCGGTCTGCTTAATTTCTTAATAAGAGAATAAGATTAACTTTATGATTTATTTTCTTCAAATTAATAGTGCCATTTTTGAAAATCTGAGCTAAGGCCAAAAATAGTTTTTTACTAACCAGCCATTTTTCTAAAGAGTAAAGTATAGGCAATTTTAATTTTTCTTAATTTAGAGTTTGAACTATAATGCATACTTATTAATACAGTAATGTGGATAATTTGTTGAATGCCATTTATTTTTGTCTGACTGTGATAGTCAGACAAAAAAAAAATGACTGTGATAGTCATTTCTATAGGTTAAAATACAATTTTTTTGCCATCAAAACTGCTTTGCGTGGATTAATTTTTCTCAGGCTTCATAATATATAGTTAAGGAAAGAAATGTATACATATTATTTATGACAAAATTATCTGTGTTCCATCATCCGTATTTTTTCGATATACCTAATACAACCAACGCTATATCATTTTTTAAAAAGTCTTCTTAATTAATTAATTATTCAATAACTGGTTGAAATATTAAAAAAAGGGCGATGGTAGAACACAGACAATGTTGTCGGCTATATTATGTAAATTTTGGTTTCTTAGTTTTGATTATAGCCAAAGGTAAAACTAATCCGCGCAAGGCGGGTTTTTTGAAGAAAATAACGGGTGTGTGACGTCCTCTTGAGAGTTGGTGCTACAAACTTAAACAATACTCGTACATACATAGATAATACGCATGCATCTATGCTCAATAGGCTGCGGTGCTAAACGGCGTTTTGGCTTGGCAACATTTTTAATGAAAAAACACGTACGATAGATTTCTAAAACAAGAACAATAATACAATCTTTGAGCGGTAATTAACGTTTGATTTCGCAGAAAGCTTTTCACATAGTGTAAAAGGGTCATTAGAGGATTTTCATAAACCATTATACATACTTTAGTATGCATATTTAATTTATGGCTTTACGCAAAATGTACGATTGAATTATGAAATTAAAAGAAAACACATACGGCCAATACGGTGCAGCAGCTGTGGACATTGGCGAGTAAAGTTTCTTTGAGCAAGAAAAAAACCAAGTAATTTTATACATTTCATGAAATGGGAGACTAAACGCAGAAAACAATAGTTAAATAGTTCTTCGTATGTGCCCACCTTATCACGATACGTCAAAACCTCTGTGCGGGTATCGCTTTCTTAGCCTAGGCGCTTGCTAAAGTAATATCTACTTCAGTCGACGTTGTTAAATTGAAAAACATTATACAATAACTATTCGGCGAAACCGCACGCTTAGCTGCATTGTAATATTATATGAGAACGCAAACAATGTAATGAGCCTGGCATACGCTGAAATGCTCGGCGAAGACATAATTGGGTGATCGCATTTCTGTACTTCAGCAAAGAGTACAAAATGGTCACCTAAAACGTTCGAGTTCAATGTATCCATGATTAGGTTTGATTAATACATTTTGTCTTTAACGCGTTAGGATTAAAAAAATCATACGCACCATATCGTTTATAAAAAAAAAAATGTTTGTAATGCAAATTATTACCATTGGTTATAAATATTATAGTAATGATAATATTATTATAATACTTATAATCAATGTTAGTACCATTTAATTTGCATACGATTGGCGTGACGTTACTCGAACAAATAATTTGAAATTGTTTAATCACTGGTTTATGTTTTTTTGTGAAATTGGTTTTTGTAATTTGCTTAAATCAATTAATTTTTTATTAACACTAGTGTTCGGGGTCATCCGTGTCGCATTTTAATGACAGTTTTTGAAGTTAACACTAAAAGAACAAACACGGGGGAAAATATTAACTCCGTGAAAACCTAACACATAGTTTAACATTAAGTTACTTTAAATAATTTTTAAATATATAAAGGTTGGCTAAGGATTAGATAGGTAATGAAAAGAATACGCAACTTGTATTTTTTAGTAACACTCTATATTTTTAAAATGATAAATAATGTTCTTGAAAATTGTGATAATTTAAAGAACGTTTAACAAATGTAATTATAAGAAAAAAAAATTAGCATAAAACTAAAAAATGTTTTCAAATGTAAGTTTTTATTATGAAACTATGATAAAATAGAAATATATATTTAATTTGTTTAGTATCAGTGTTAATTAAATATACTAAATACATTTTTACTTTTAACTTAAAGTTAACGTTAATTTAAAAAAGAAATACAACTTTAGGCATACTAATACAATCCAAATCACGTTCATAAAATATGAGCATCATGAGTGTTCATCTACAGCTCTTTCCTTTGGTCTTATTGGTAGTGTTGGGTTTTTTTAATAGAATTTCCTACAATGTATAATCTGATGTTAATAATTATAAAAACTGATTAAGAAATAATAATTAAATCCATTTTTCTTGTGGAGCTAAAAAAAAATACTTTTTTGAATCTATCTAAAAATTATATTCATATATATATATATATATAACGTCAGCCAATAACTGTATATTTATTACTGTATTTATATTTATTATTTTTCGCAAGTTTTTGGAAAAAGTAAGGAATTTGATTTAAAATTTTGGAAATAGGGAAGTCAATTTTTTCCATATACCTCAGAAATAGGAAGAAAAACAAATAAAATTAATTTTTAAAATTAAAATTTTTTCTTACAATTATTTTGAAAAAAGTTTATTTCTACAGCTAATTCCGCGAATTAGCTTAGAAACTAGACGAAAGTTATTCTTCTTTATTCAAGGAGAATAGGCTGATAATATTTTGTTTGTATTTTGAATTGCATTTCAGAATTGATTTCGAACGTATACAAATTTTTATTTGTTAAAGAGTAAAACAATTTCAATTTTCAATTTTGTAAATACTTTTGGTAAACGATCTCTGAGTTATTTACTGTATTTTGTACGGATTGATCAAACCAACAATTAAAATATATCGTGGGTCTAGACATTAAAATATAAAAAGCAATTCATACTTTAATTCTAATGTTTTAATGTTGATATTTTAAAAGTGTAAACATCACTTTTTTTAAAGCTCATTTCAATGTCATGGTTTTTTAGTTGTTCTATGTTGCAAATTTTACAGTATTTTTTCATCAGAACTTGCAGCATATTCTTTTTTTTCATTGCTTGCCAGTCAAAATTCTATTTACCGCGTTGGGTCAGCGACTCATACACTTGGGATTCTATAGATTTATAAGAGGTATAATTAGCTCACAGTACACAAACACCGGACACCGGACTCGGACGTGTATCGTTTTATTAACATATTCTTTATACTCTGTATTATAACTTCATATCAATGACACTTTTACATCGGCACAGGCTTACAAAATATTATCATCTTCGTCATTTTTATAATAATTATTATCGTTAGCAAGCAGTCGGTAGCGAAGTACCGGTGAACTTTGCACGCAGGACATAATAATTATTACAGTTATAATTACATAACCTTGCGCGTTGTGCCCGTTTATTTTTTTATCATCCTCTTCACTCCGTCAAAGCAGCCGTGGCATGTCAACCTAACCTTAAAACCGTACTTGCACACAAAAGAGTCCCGTTTGGGTCCCGGTATCATACGCACACACCGTAGCCATTCCCATTATTTCGCTTTTGTTTTAGTTTATTATTTTTATTGTTATACATGTTGTTTATTGTATAGGTTGACGTTTTTGACGATTTATTCTGAAAACCCAATACAATTATCCAATTGGGCAGTAGCGAGGCGTGAATCTTAAAGTCAGGGAAACGATAAAAAAAAAAAAACGTTGAAATTTATATAAAAAATTATTTGTTATTTAAATGAAATAAAATCAAACTGTTTATAGTTCTATTTATATTTCATTTATATGTTTATATTTCTAGGGATAAACATCGTTTTATTGTCTCTTTTAACGTTTCACCACTGCAATTGGGCTATGCTAATTAGCCGGAAAATAAATATACATGTATACTATTATAGTGGATAACACGCATTGTTCAGCTTGATATACGATTGGATCGTATGTCGATGAGGGGGAATCGACGCCGTTAATGTGCTACGTAAAACCTTGTACAGTATAGGTATATCATATATAATGACATAAACTAGGTCCCTATAATTTCCGTTATACCTGCAGCAGCAACCATGACTGGCAACGATGTGTCGACCACGGCCGCTTCCTTGATGGTTCCTATCACGCAGGACACACATACTTTCCACGACTCCAACAGCTCTTCCGAAGACGACCCTGTTTCTGTTGTGTGTTCTGTCGTCATCCGATCGGTTAATATCTCGTTTAGTACTAACTCGACAGCCTTAACATATACATAACGAAAATAATAGTTAGTTAAACGTATAATACATTAGTCGGGGCTGGGGCCCTCACGCAAATTTAGACAAGGTCTATCTGTATTTGAGAAATATAAATTTTATATTTTAACATTAACCCCGAGATGGTACAAATATTGACCCGGTTCAAAAACTCCAAAAAAAATACATAAGTTACGCTGAAAATGACAACAAAGTACCTAAATTATAAGTTTCATCCATGCTTCATAATTAATGCTAACGTATTATTAACGAACGGAAGTTGACGAACCTTATCAAAATAAAACGTAATGGATATGTACCTAATAGCTAATATAAATAATAATAACAATAATAGTAGCGCGTCCGTTCTAGTATACTAATTAGCTAATAATAATAACAAGTTTTGCTTTGTTGATCACGAATACTCAGGACTAATTAATATATTTTGTTCAAATTTGTTTTCCGCACTGTCCGCAAAACCGGTCATGACTTTAAAATATTTCATTTCAAACGAATAGTTCTCGTAAGTACCCAAGACCAGCATAAAATATACCACATAAGTAATATAATGTAATACTTAATTTCCTATGCAAAACATCAAATATAAGTCATCTTATTGGTTACACGACCACGCAGCCACTTTCATCGTCCAACTATGCAAATGAAACACTAGGTTGAACGCGTCCAATTAAAAGGGGCACCAAAAGGTTAGCGGATATTCAAAATTAAAAAAAAACAATGAGTCACTCGTACCGAATAATATTCGGATGTACACTCACAAATGTAATAAAACACAATTGACAAGACAATAAACATACGTTTGAGGTACGAAAAATAATTTATAGTGTTTGAATGACTAGCACGCATTTTTATAGTTAAAACTTAAATACTTAAAAATAAGTAACTTATTTTCACGATAGTAATTTTGATATAAATAAAAAAGCTACATCAAAATGGCAATATCAAATATGTACTACAAAGATTAAGAGGAAAATGTTTTGTTTCTTTGTCAACATTATCAATTATTAAATATTCTATTATATGGACACTCCCGGAGAAAACCCTCTAATGAGATAAACTTTAATTTCCTAATAGTCAAAAGCATAATTTTTTTTTAAAATAAAAAACCAATAGCAATGTTTTCATTTCTGATTTTTATAATGTTATAATTTCGTACTTATTGTAAGAGAGATAGAACTTCGAAGGGTTTTTTTTCAAAATAAGATAAGAATTTTTTTTTTCTGAATTCAGGTACCAAAATCTTCATTTGTACGTTTTTCCTCGTAAGCGACGGTTTGTTGTATATTAAAATATTAAATTTCTAAGAAAACATCAATTGAGGACATGTCGTTAAAATTAATATTCTTCGGTTCAAAGATCAATTTTGTTGAACTTATTAACAGCGTGTAATAAATTGTATATATTAAAAAATACAGTTTATTGTGGGCGGTCTTGTATATGACCGAGATGCTTCTTTGCTACCATGCATGTTTTAATTGATATCACCTTATTCTAAAAAAAAACAATGCTTTGCAATACGAGTACCGGTATAGGACTGTCAACATGCACATGTATCGAGGCTACCTTCGACTTACCGAGAAAAATATACATTTTTTAATTAATAATTTTTATCATATATAGGTATTTTGTTGTGACATAAGAAAACTAACTTATAATAAAGTTAATTTTGTATAAAAAAAAACTCGGAACATAATAGTTTAAAGAGATTAATAATTGTATACTACCTATATACAATTTTTGAACACGTCACCAGTCACCTAAGTATAGCTATTACCATTGATTTTTAAAATCAATGGTATTATATAACAATTATTTGACAAAATTGCACTTATGAGTGAACTCGATGGAGCACTGTAAGTAAATGTTAGTTTTTGAATAAGAAAGATTGCAGTAAATAAGGTTATAAACAAAATGAAAATACGTAAAAAAAAATATTTCAAAAATAATAGTATATAAGTACAGTTTTTCAAAGCAAAATTTAATATCGTTAATCGTAGATCTAATAGATGTTACATAGGCGTACCCTCGGCAGATTAGACTTTGGTGCTTCGTTAAAGGACTTGAACCGTTTAGTCTAAGAAATGACAACTTTTATTAAAGCGTGTCAAGAAATTTTAGAACGATAATTTTTTAAACACACAGTAAATAAATAATTTATTTTCATCGCATGTGTGTGCATTTCTTCGTATGTCATCGAGTACTTTATACACCGTGTTGATCTTCTATAATGTATGCTATAAAATACCTATGAAAATGATGTTTGAAAATTCGTACGAAGATGATACATATAGGTTACACACAGATAATCTCTAATTGGACACGCTTTTAGTTTGTACAAACTATAATAATACATTTACTCGAACTGCACGGTTAATTGACCCAATCTGCTAAATCAAATGGGCCGTACGATGCATTTATCCTATTGGCGGTCGTGTATATGTTTACAATTATTATTACTTTGCCTATTATCCCTTCTTAATTTTTCGTTAAAACCATTCGTCGTTCTAGTAAAACGTAGGATCGAATAAAAATATATCGTTTTGTTGACATTCGTAGCAAAATTGTACTGTCGCTTAAACGCTCGATTAGACATACTTAACGTGGTTAATCGTTCATCTGCGCGGACGGAAGTCGGCAATCAAACACCCTATCGAATAAAAACCGACCTAGAACTTATTTACAGCCCAAAACGACTTTTGTGTAAATTGCTTAACGAAGAAAAATTAGACCTAAATCTGGCATAAAACATTGATAGAGTATCAAAATGGCAAAATGGAGACATGAATTTGAATAAATAATAATTTAATTGAAGATGATTTACCACGTGCGTTGACTTTATTTGCAAACATTTTTAATCGTTTATTTACTTGTTGGTAGAATTGATAATTCGTTTTTTAATTCGACCTTCCTACATTTTACTTGGTAAATATGTCCACTTATAAAATATTATATAATCGGATAATCAGAAACATGTGAGTCAATAAATATTACGATAGCTTGTTGACTTATAATTATATATTATGTTAATTGTTACACACAATTTTAACTAAAAAAAATATATATAATTTTGGAATCGCATAAACTCGTACTACACGTGTAAAATAAGAAATAGCGCGATTGCCATATTATTTAATAATTAGTGTAGCATATTACGCATATTAATGAATTACTATCAATAGTGACCCAGATGATCTGTACACTGGCGTGCTGCTAAATTAATCGTATTATTATGAAACGCCCATAGTTGTGTACAATTGTTATCCAACCGGTAAGACAACACCTTAGTAAAAAAAAGAACCTAATTAGAGTGGCGAGTCACTGTTGCAAAATATTAATGCCGGTGTGAACTTTACAAAATACCGTTTGGTTTTAAGTGTTGGTTACCTCAAAGTGTCCGGTCGTCAGACGAAATTTCTTGTGTTTTTCCCCGAGGTCTTCGAGGGCTTTCTGGCTGACTTTGAAATCTCCAAGAAGTCCAATAGTGGTGTCAAAAACTTTGCCTGTCCTGGTAGCGTGCGCTAAAAAATGGCCATTCGATATGAGCTCGTTAACCGGTACTCGGGCGAAACGGTCGAATTCTAGCTGATACAACGGATACTTCTGAAATAGTCTTAATGGAAACAAACTAATGTAAAATCATAATAACACATTGTTTAAGCGAGTATAATATACTTGATGTAGAACGAAGGCCAAAAATCGCTCGACACCAGAAATGGCCAGGAACGTTGGACATTCGATATATGCGATTCAGTAAACCTCGGTACCGTGTCCATGATTGAAGATGGACAAAAGAAAAATGGAGTTTAAATAGTCGGTAGTTGCAGCGTGTTCCATCATAGAGATAAAGCACGGCGTCGTTAAAGTATATACCGGGAAATGAATGTATATATATATGTATTCACTTTTGGACCAGATACTCGTTTCACTCAGGTCTTATTGAATAGGTGGTAAATATTTTGTTCCCTGCACGACTGTCGGCGTGGCGTTCGTTTCTTAAAAAAGTCATAAATATAATATTTAAAAAAATTGAAAACGTAAAAGAAAAACATACTATTAGACGTGACCAAGAAGTTTTACACGGCATTATTTTTTAGGCCAAGGATTGATGTGTGTGTGTGAAAAAATACAACAAACTCTTATATATTTTTTGCTTCATAAAATATAAAAAAAGTGAACTAAAATCACACTCGTTTTCGAATGCACGTGTTATAACAAAATAGTTGAGCTATTTTATGTCCTTATCACAATGCATAATGTGAAACTATACATCGAGTTATAAAAATAGATTAACGGGTCATTAAAAGTTAAAAACCTACGACTTAACAAATTCCCTAGCCTTAAATGTCTTATCAGGTTCTACTACAACATTTCATTAACTATTTGAAATATCATGTATTTTCTATTTTAAAGCTTGAAGCGTTAAAAACGTCGTGATTGATTAAATTGAACTTTAATATATAACTATATTAACTTTCAGTTAATCTGAAATACATCTGAAACTGGTTTAAAATAAGGTATTTAATATTAAAACTTTACAGGATTACTATATTGTGATTATTGGATAATATATTAGCATTGGACACGGAGCATGAAAAGGCATTGTTTTACAAGGATGTTTTTCTTTTGTGACCCTCGGTAACTTTTAAACCACTAAACCCATTACTTCATGTAACAACTGTATAAATCAGAAATTGATTTGTTTTGTCAACATAATATCTGAACGTTATAGATGTCAGATTTCCCTTCATGTGATAATTCACCATGCTGACTAGTTAAAACTGTCATCACCTGCCATAGTAATGTTTGAGTACTTATGTTTTAAAAAAATTCCTTTCAGTAAAACATAAAATTACATGTATTTCTTATATTCTGCGTATAACTTGTAATCATAGTATGGTTTAGTGACCCAGACCACCGTAGCTGTAAATACATGACCTGCGTTATAACTTTAACGTCATAATTTAGGTAATTGAGTATTTTCGTCATAAAAAAAAAACTGTAAATTAAACATTATAGCATTAGTTGGAAAGTAAAAGAAAATGAGAAAAAATGATAATATTCATCTACTGATTATTTTTGTGGGCGAAAGAATGCCCTTGAAGGATATTTTAAAATGAAAATGAAATACAAAAAACGCTTAAGTGGTTTTCTCTGTTTTTCTTAAACCTTATCCGATTCTGACATTCTTGACTGAGACCCCTCTGTAATCATGAAAGTTTTAATGAAAGGGAAGGGAAGGTGTGCTTGAAAAACGAGATTATTTTATTAATTAGGCGCTTTGGGGTTACAATTATTTTAATTATTTTTTATATTCAAGTAGAACGTCGAGTGCAGAAACGTCGGTAATGTAGAAAGGCCATGCTGATACAGAGAATGTTTATCGTCTGTTCATGGTTGTGCGCTTCCACTTTCCATCGAATGCGTTATTTCGGTGTAGACATAATATATTTATATGTATATCTTTATCTATATATTCACAACCAACCGTACTGCATTGCAAATGGGGCCGAGTCCTAATAAATTCGATGAATGTGTTTACACCAGTCGTGGACGGTAGTGATCACTAGGTCTCGAAATAAAAAAAAAAACTATGAAATTAGTTCAAATCGAAAGCGTTTGCCGGCAAGCATTATTCGAAGTTCAGCGTTGCCTGATATTTTTTATGGAGTGATTATAGTATATAGATAAATAATAGTGTACAGGGCGCGGCCACAAACAAATTATATATTTTTTGACTTGCATATACATAGTGTTTGTTTTGGGCGGGTAATTATACGTCGGATATTATCACCTAACAAAGTAACCGCGGGCCAAATGGTCTAAAAAAGGAAATCTTATCTTATGTTTGTGCGTGTGTGTGTGTATGCGTGTGCACAAGAGGCGCCTAAACCGAACGTGGGACGGATACACATATTAAAACGCATTGTGTAAGTGTCGCAAAACACTATTTTATAATATAGTCATATCAACAAATTTTCTTTTGGTTCGCCGTCTTATTTATTATGATTGTCTTATATATAATTATATAAAAGCTTACAGTTAATGATTATTCTATAAAAAATTTCAAGCTTTGGCTTAACGGAGATTCATAGATACATTTGATAAATCATTGTATGATGTAAGGTTTATATAACAAAATATAAGAATTTGACCAATAAAAATTCCCATTTTTTAATTTGAATTTATTTATTATCTATTGGGCTAGTGCAGTACGTTGTTGTGTATACATGAAAAATAATATTAATTATAAACTAAGAAAATCACTTAAAATAAATTATTAACACTTAAGTCATGTGGTGGATCACAAAAAAAAAACATAAAAAAATGAACGAGCCGCGTACAGTACTTACAACGGTTATATTATGGTCACCACGTTATTCATTTCTACTTCCATTAACGATCTCACCGGTTCACTACTAGCCAGAACATCATACCGTGCCCCAAAGATGTTCACACATCAAAAATCCTGTAATTGATTAATATTATTTATAGTCCTTTACCAGGTTAGGTTATAAAGTACTAATAAATAAAGTGCTGAGTAGTAAAAGGTAGGTAAGTTATAATTTTATTGCAAAGTTTTTAAATGAAACAAACGTCTAACCATTACTTTTCATTTTTAAACACTGCATGACCAAATTTACATGCAATTTTTGATTATTAAAATGTTTATTCATTTTAATAGATACATGTCTTGACATGACCAATTTTAATGTGAATTAAACATATCATCAATTATTTACATTTTCAGTGTCTATTATTTGACAGCGTAGTACATTTTTTTCTTCTATGTTTTCTACTATGATGAATCTAAATATAATATCATCTCTCACGGACCGGTGCATAATTGTTGGCCGTAACAAAAATAGTTTAATCGCCCAGATGGGATTGCGTGAGATTTAAATTTCTCGATAAGTTGTCCTGTGCGGCGGCAACATGTTTGCATGATACAGACAAACGTAATAGGGAAATAATAGTGGATCCAGAGGCTTAGATGCGTTTCTGTGAAAAAAAAAAGTGCTGATCGCACCTTCCTGCTACAGTGATTTCTACTAGAGACGTTCACACCGGAATCGAGAAGACAGATTATTTTACATTAAAATATCAAACAAGAAGACAAATATGGTTGTTTTCATCTAGCAGAGCGATGAATTGCTAATGAAGTTTGGACTTGTAATTATTTTTTGTAATCAATTTTCAACGCGAACAATTAGAAAGTTGTTATGTTTCATAATCGAAGTCCGTGTTTTTGGTTCTTTTTTTTTGTCGTAAAACGTAGCTTAGTGTGTTATAATTTATTGTAAAAGAAAGATGTTTTTGTTTGCGACACGACGTTACTGTATTTATTATACACGTGTATTTTTAATCGAATCCCAGTAAGATTACCGCTCGATATTACTGAACTGAACCATCTTTACGGAGAATTCCAAACAGAATCATAACATCTATATAAAATGGTCAATGCGATCCATCGGTAATATTTTAATCAATTCATAGACCGTAGGCAAATACACGAAGCCGGCGCGCAGTCGGTGGTCATAAAAGTATAAACACTGAATGGAATACAAAAAAGTAACACCTGTTGGTTTGAGGTAAACAAAACACGTCTGTATTATTGTTTTAAAATTTTCTGCGGTGCAGTTTTAAACGCTTAAGCGGTAATAGTTTATTATCGCTATGTAAATTCCAATAACACTGTACACATTGCACACTGTGTCTGTAAGATGTTTCTTCTTTACAAATACTTTGTCCGTCAATATTGGAGAACAACGATAAAACGTTCTTATTAACTGCAGTCAACTGTCAAGCTATTATTTATGTTTAAGATAGCCACTCGCACCGGTTGTTTTGATCCATCGGCTAACAAGTAAAAAAAAAAACTATTATTACCATCGTAACTCAATTAGGTAGCGATTTCTATTATACTAATGGTAAATTCCTTTAACGTGCAGCTTCGTTATCATTAATTTTCGCCGTTCGTCTGTTTTAATGCGGGTAGCTGTTGCGATAATTAAAAAGAGAAATCGTCTAATTGTAAGTCCAATGCGAAATTTTGATTTAGTTTCCTTAAACGGACGACTGTCGACTTCAATAGCACATATAGCGGGTAACGATTCCATTGAGACTTACATATAGTAATAGTAGCATAGATATACAATCAGGGATGGACGAATTATGTAAAAAAATCGATTAAATGAACAAATATCCAAATCAATAGAATTACAAGTAAATTATCTTTTTTTTTTGTTTTGTTTAAAAATTATCACCTACGTTATTATTAAGAAAACATTTTCCCAACGTATATAAAAAATAACATAAATAATCAAATATTTTCATATTTTTAACATATTTTAAAATTATTAAAATTTAGTTATGATAAAAATTAAAAACATTGTTTTCATAACGTTTTCAATGTACTTACATATAAATATATTTTTTTAAACATCTAAATTATCGACTTCCAATTGCCATATTCATTCAGGGCTTGAAACAGTTCAATACTTTTTTTTTAATTTTGGATGTTTTTTTATAACTTTTATTTTTTAAAAAACATTTATAAATAATATTATTTTTATTTGTACAATTATGAAATAAAAGTTAAAGAATAAATAAAAGTCTTTAACGTAAACTTGTATTCGCGAGTGCGGCATTCACAGTACATATTTAGTAAAATACAATTTTTATAGTATAGCTTTTACTTTTTTTAAATTCCATTTCCGCGTTACATATTACAAAGTGATTTAGTTACATAATTTAATTACAGAAATTCAATTACTGCTCACGCCTATATACTATGTTCTTATGGCACAGATAACCAAAAATGTAATTATATTAACAAATTAAGAACTGTTTTAATGCTACCGGTATAACGGCACGCCGTGTGGCTATAATTGGCAAGCATGTCCCCGAGTGTCGATTAAATAATTGTTAGAGTTACATGACGTTGTCGCGGGCGTTCGCAACGGTCGTCGGAAAAACGGTTGATTGATCTAGATAATCGATGGTGTCGTTACGACGAATGACTTGTTCGGTCAATTCGAGATAGTTTAAATAAAAGTTATCAACATAATATTAAGATATATATTATGTCGAACGATCGCGGTGATGTTGCACAAAAATTGTTGTTGCTTTTCGTGGATTTTGTTGTTCTATATCACAGTAGCAGACGCGACGAAATCGTAGTCCACATTATAATATATATATAATGGTGGTACAATAGTATTATATTGTAATTCATGTGTGTTCCATACGCATATTATTATTATGTGCGTGCATCACATGGTAGGAGCGAAACGGACGGCTGCGTTCGGCGGCAATATGTTATCCCCGCCAAGCGAACGGGTTCTCCTACATCGAGAAAAATCATCAAGTGCTTAATGCTCACAAGGAGGTTAGTGCTGTGTTTAGGTCGTGGCCGCGAGCACGTCGATTGGCCCCCCGAGTCCGGTGCGCGTTTGTATGAAAGTGTTTTCGCTCTGTTCGAGTGCGTTTTTTACGTTATCGTATCCCGAAACATCCGGACTCTGGATACAATTACCGCCGAACCAGTGACAAAAAAAAGAACACCAATCAAGTAAGAAAAATAAATTTGTCCTTAAGTCTCGCGTGGCCGCCGCTCCAAAGAAAAAAAACTCATATCCGCCGATTGTACTTGCCCGTCCCTGACGATCGGGTAAACAATTATTTAAAAAAAAAATAGATAATTTCCTCAGGCGACACCCGAGTTCGAGATAATAATTATTGGTTACCTTAGTTTCGAGAAAAGCTATACATATATATATCGTTTAAAAACTAATTTGACTGAATAGCTTAAAACACTAAATAGCTACGACTTCCACTATAACTTTGAACTAGTCTTATATTGAAAAGTAAATATTATATTACCGTTGTTGAGACGGCCTCACGATTGTGATACAAATGTAATAAGGCTCATTGTATAGGTACACTTATGTTTACAACATTTGTAAACATATATATTGACACAGGAAAGAGGGATCTATTTTTACTTCTATAACGCATACAGGCTCTATTTTTGTACAAAAACATAAGCTTCTATATCCAACAATCCAAGTTCTGTGCTTTGACGTATCGGCTACTTTTCCTTATTATTTGTCTTCATTATAAAATAGTTTTTGTAAAAATTTTTGTTTAGACCTTTCTTGATAGTATCAAAAAAGCTGACATCTATTATGTGTTCGGTCGTGTGGCAATAAATGATAATTAAGATTTTATTCAATAGACTTGTCAAGTATATGTTTTTAGGAAAAAAACAACGAGTGCGTTGTGATTATATTTTTAAAAATTCGTATTGTTTTAAGGAAAACACATTCTCGAAGACGGCTGCAATCTGCATAATACTTTGGACTCGTATTGCCCTACCATGTTTTCTCTCGTCATTAGTTGTAGTTGGTCTATAACCGTAAGGCTTCGCTTAACGGCCAGGGTTAATGGCGCGTAAGTAGTCAAAAACATGATTTTGTCCATTTATGTGCAATGCATTTTTCGAGTAAACCACATAATAATACACGGTCGATTAAATCGGTTTATCGTCGATAAACGAGTGAACGAACTTTGAATATTTATTACATTATTAAGAAAAACAATTTGCCCTACTGAGTGTACAGATTATTTCTTGTATCAAAACAACTCGAATAGTAGGCATGTCGGTTAGTAATATAAAAAAAAATCTGGTCGCCTGATAAAGGCAGATCTTTTTCGACATTATCATCAAATCCCTATGTACAACGGCGATCACGGTCCATCCGTTCACGTCGTGCGCTTATAAACAAACCTAGTTTACACGCACCGTCTTGTGTGTTGCTGTTGATCAATACAATACAATAATATTATTTACTCGGTGTTATTAAACGTTATATGCGAAATGGTTAATGGGTAGGTTATTTATTATATAAATATTTGTTAATTAGATTTAGTAAAACTAATCGCATTTGACGTTTGACACCGACGTTTGAAGATTACGTACATTATATAGCAATGATTAAGTGGTTTGTCATTAGAACCACAGATGCATAGTATACATCTACTATAGCAGTAGCATACTGTGTACAATGTATGCTAACTATTCGGCTTGTTTGACGTTAAAATCCATTGTACAGCAATACGGGTACGATCAAGCGTTTAACATGACGAGAGCTTATTGTTTGACTACAATAAGATTTTTTAAATATTCCTATACATATAGATATTATTGACGTTAACGAGCTGCTGTGTTGACGTTCGATTAACGATTGGACTAGCTGGCGTTGACCGTACACTGTCCTTATTCAACTCATGAAATATGGGTTAAACTGTCAATAAATCGATTCAATATTTTCAACTAAAGCGTTTGGTCGGATTAAGCCATTCGTAAAACCTCTATTTGTTAAGAATATTCATCTAAAGAGTGTAATCTAAACAATTCAAAAACGTTTTCCACACCTGTCCCTCCTCTGTACAAAACACAATGTCTCAGTTTGTCTTTGGTTTTATACTGCTCCCCCCCCCCATCCCATTGGTTAATTCGATCCTGTTAGATCTAACTTTTGCAATAGACGGGCTACTGAAATGTTATCATTGTCGTTACTGCTTTCTATCAAAGTCAAAACGCTATGAGACAACAGAAATCCATGTGGGAACCGCACACTCTGTCGTGCTTTGTTGGTGTTTTAATCAAATCCGTAGTGTGGCGTCGGTAAAAAAGACTTTCCGAGTAAGCGGTTAAGTGGCAACGAATAACGATAATAATATTTCGTATTAGGTACTATTATCTTTTTATATTCGGAGAAACTCGGCATTGTTTCCAATAGAAATGTCAATGAAACAGGTTCTGCCGCAGACTTATGTCAGAAATCCCGATGAAATTAATCTCCACGGTATCGACACGTGAGAATTTCTCTTGCGAGCGTCCCTATGTTTCTTTCCGACTTTGCATCCATCTGCCGTCTGTTGTCTCCAACATCAGGTCGTTGTAAATACATATTCTCTATAGGGGAGGGAGCAATTGTGTTACTAGACCCCGTTTCCTGGCGATTCGCTCAATTACAAGACCGCCGGACGCGCATAAAACTGATAAATAATTATAGCAGTTAATCATTTTTACGAATTGAAACAAAAATTATAATTAAAAAAGTAAAATCAAATACCTAAAATAACACTATAAACGTTTCGCACTGAAGATATCAACGGGCCGGAGAAAGCCAATGGCCTTGTTAGGATGAGCGCGCCGGCCTAGACAGTTCAAATACCATCTCTTACTTTCAAAACCACCAAACACACAATGCAGCGGCATCTTTGAGTACTCTGCAAGCACTACAAGTACTCATACGAGTGTCTGGCTTAACCGGTTTTTTCAAACAATATAAAAGTTATATTTGTTTAGAAAGTCACGTTTAATCGTATTTAGAATAATATAATGTCTATTATTGAAAAAATAATAATAAAAATCTTAAAAGATGTATAAAATATATTTCCTAGTACCTAGAATAAACGTGTTTCTGTTGTATTGACAGGCAAAACAGGCCACCGCGATGGATGCCAACAACAAGACATTGTCCACGGCCAAGAAGAGTCGGTTGCGGTATACGATCAGAGGGGGATTCGAATTCGACACCATGGTAAGTCCGTCGTCGTCGTCCTCGGCAATCGCCCACTTAAGTGGCTGAAATTACAGTGGGCGACGTTATTTTTCTTCTAATTAACTCGGACGTTGTCGTTTTAGGGCAAGACCAGATACCACGAACTGCGCAAATATGTAAAAAAGGGCAACGACTTTTGCAAAGAACTGGGAAACATCATGCAAGAAAGGTATAGGATTAATTATTATAATAGAATTTTAATAAGAGTGTACTAGAGTTATAACTATAGGCGGACATCAATACAAACGAATTGTGTATTTTAGGATTTTTTTTATTGCGCTAAAAATCGAACCTCGATTGTTTTTTAGGTATTTTTATGGGTTTGTAAATTCGATTTTTTTAAACTCACGACAATCTATTATAACTACACGGAAAAAAATATATAGTTGGATCAAATAAATGTACACACAATAAAATGTGTACTCGTATTGTATTAATACTATTAACCATACTTTTAGTTAGTCCAACTATTTATTTTTTTCCGTGTGTGTTTGAGTGTGTTTAATAATAATATATATATTTATATTATATTATATTATCATAAATTATAAATAATATTTTTTATTATTTCCAAACCGCAGTGATCTTTGCAATTCTGCGAGTAGTTAACCTTTTTGGGTATTATAGCTTATGTAACTCTGTGAGTTTTTACGTTGCAGAGTCGAAGTAGAAATGTATTATGCGAAGATACTGTCCAAGCTTTCGGCAAAACTGGTGAAAGTGGCTAAAAACGGAGTCGGTTCCGTCCAAAACGCTTGGCTGCATATCGGCAAGGAAATGGAAGCCGACGGCCAGGTGCACCGGAGTTTTGCCAACACACTGGAAGAGGACATCGTTAAACCCCTAAAGAATTTACAAGACACTCAATATAAAATTAAAAAGTCTGTCGAGGGCGATGTCACCAAGACCAGTGAGTCTAGATTATGAGTATATTATAATTTTGCACAATACATCTTAATGCATTTTCGAGTAGCTCCATAGTGATTTAATCGCGAGCACGTGATGTGGTTTAAATATGTTTTTTTTTTTAGTACCTCCAATTAAGAAACAAGCTGACAAGGTCATCTCTTAGAATACACTGTCCTCGTTGCATAGTGCGCACGTTTTAGTGTTATAAATGTATTATTTATCATCCGATATAAATATTAAGGAATGTGTAACACCACAATTAACCAATGACCGTGTTATGTTTGTTGTGTAGGTTACAAGTTACTACGTGCAACCGTTATAAATATAAATCAATATTTACTACAATAATAAATACTTTAGTAAAAATATACATCAATAAACATAAAATAACTGAATAGAGCAGAAGACAGGAGTAAAGACAGCGAAAACTCGAATACTTAGTAAACTTCTATTTTTAGTCCAATCTCATTTGTTTGAAAATTCAAGAAATAAAGGATAGCCGGTAATGAGTGAGAACTAACAAAGTTAAAGAGAGTGCGAGTATTATTATGATAGCCACTTGAAAACGACATTATTTCCTATATTGTGTGCTACATAATATGCAATACTATTAACGTCGAGGAAGTGTGATGTATGCGTTGTTATAAGAACGAATGCAGAAAGTGAACGGATTACAGAATTCAAGCAGAACACGAGACACCTCGATACAATAGGGAGATAAAACGAAGAGCTGTGTGTAGAGTAATACGGTTGTTACGAGTACATCAACCCGACAAAGGGAAATAACGGTAGAGAAAGTGCTGAAAAGGTTTGACCGAAATAATAGAGGCAGTAAGTGCAGTACAGGTACAATCGATAGTATAAATTATCAAACAGCAAAAAAGAAAAAAAAGAGGCATTAAGAAATCTGCAGACGTCGTCGGCAATAGAGTAGTTCGTGTTGACCTGACGATCCTGATCTAACGGTATTAATGCGACACTAAATCCAACAGTAGCTGTATTGGCTAGACATAATATTGGTCAACGGTATCTCGGTGGTCAGCTCGTTTTTTTATACGATAGGCTGAAATCGTACGGCTTGAATTGTTAACCAAAACAACAAACGGGTTTCATAGACCCTAACGCTCTAATAATACGAGCGTGTGCCACTTTCAGCGCGAAAAAATTATAATACAGTCAAAATAGGAACACAATAAAATGTATAGTTGGAATGACTAAATAAATAGCCAACTAAATATATAGTAGATCCTACCACAACTATAATTATATAATTTTTTTTGCGAGTAAGGTTACTATACAATACCTACATTAGTGTACATGCACAACTTATTGTTATAATCAGGAGCAGAGCGGGAGCTAACTTCTATCTGGAAAATTCGTTTCATTCGAGCCATTCAAAAATAATTTATCAATTAGGTAGCAAAAAAAATGTTGTCTCAAGTTTATAATTGGTTAATTTTTTTATCGATATTTTAGAGGAATATTGACCGTTTTCATCAGTTTAGCGTGTCATTTATGTGTAGTTTAGCCTATGATTTACTACAGTTAAACTTACTTTTTAAGTTTAACTGGTGAGAACGGCCATAATCACCAATAACCAATACCTTCCCAGTTTTGCATCAAAGCTAAACAAATGTGTAAAATAACGTGATAAACCAATTAGGCACAATATTAAATTATCTATGCATAAATAATATTGACAACCCCTTACTAAATATTATTTGGTTTTTACAAAACAAAACATTGTTTTTTTTTTTCCATTTTTCTTACTAAAAAATAATTTTGTTTTAGATTTTTTCGCAACAAGTCAAGTCATTTCTAATAACCTCTAACCGTAAAAAATCTGTCGCTGTTGTTATAACTGTTATATTCTATCTTATGTAGGATTGAACATTGTGGCTAATGAGTTTTTTTCCCCTAGAGAAAAGTATGAACGAATGGAGATCGGCCGAGCGGAAGAGTAAAAAACAAAGTTTTTCCGTAGCCAGAGAAAACGAAAAAATGCAAGACACGGCGGCGGACGTTTCATATTCGATTGTCACGAGCAACGCGAGTTTGAACAAAGACGCGACCAAGGTACGTGATTTGGTTTGTGTTGGCCGAATGAGGTTATAACGTTGTTGTTGCGGTATTCTTTCAGCTGGAAACGAAAAAACGGAAGCTAGAAGAATCTGTCAAAAAGAGTTACACCGAATACTACACTTATTGTGTGCGGACGGCCAGGGCCAAGTGAGTGTACCGACTTCAGCAGACCTAGCAAACCGATTATTGAGTATTAAAAAAAAAAATAATGTTAAATACTGTTTACTTCTGTCCAGGCTCGATTGGGAAATGTCGATCAGCAACGGCGAAAATAATTTCATGACGCTAGAAGAGGAACGGTTACTGAGACTGAAAGAGTACGCCCATCACATGCTTCAGTCCTACCAGAAGATAGGGCCAAAAATATCTCAAGTCAGTGTTATCACTATTCGCACTTTTTGAAACATTGCATATTATACATCCGTGTGTTTAATGTAATATTTTGATTTTGAAATCAGATATCGATGCGCCTCAGCGAACCGGTGATGGAGTGCGACGTACCCAAAGATTTCAGCATCATAGTTGACAGCGTCAACCGACACCAAGACGACCTCAGGCTTCAGGTTCTGCCGGACTTCTATCCGGAGCACACGCATCTGGCAATGAACAAGAGGAGACGAATATCGGTAAGGCGCCGAAAATATCGGTTGAGTACTTGGCCAATGGGTAGAAGAGATGCTTCAGTTGATTGATCCACGTTATAATAAACGTAACTTCGTAGGCACTATCGAAGATAATGCAGCTAATTAATCAAGATCTGGAAAGGGAACGGAGGAGCAAACAGGGTTTGGACACATTGGCAAACGCCATGCACCATTCCGCGACTTTCAAACAGGATGATTCGTACAAAAACGTCAACGAGAAACTCCACCATGTTAGTTTGTAATTTTTTATTTCATGCGTTACGTTTTTGGAAGTATAGCCATTAGCCAATACTAGGTTCAATTAGCCAAACCGTAAAATACATAGCAGACATTAGACAATAGTAAATTTCGAAGTTTATTTTGTATTTAAATGTAGTTTGTCGATAGATACCTCTGTATGATTACATTTCCCTAATACATTGGTAATGTTATACGAATAACGACTGCTACTTCGATGTCTATTGATGAAATAAAAGATTGGTTTTTGAGAAAGAATTGTAAAACCTTTTTACAAAATCATCAATAACTCGAATAAAAGTATTAATAAAATAAAATTAAGGCGGTTATATTTTCTACTTAAAAACACTTAGGGGTTTTCCAAACGGTCGACCTCTGGGGAATCTTATTTAGACTATATTTGGGCAATCATATGCAGATGACCCAAAAGAGTATAGAAAGCTTATACGTATTAATGCGTATGTATCTAATTTTATTGATTTGATTCATTTCGATGTACGCTGATATAAAGTTATGAGCACAGTAAATAGTGTAAATACAATACCCCACTCAAGTTTTAATGATTTTTTTAATAAAAATATTGTTTTACTTTTCCTAGATAGGTATAATTCTCACCCCAATTTGAACCCATCATGAATCTAAATAACATCCAATCGAGACGTTTTGAAGAAGCGAAATACTGGAATCTTAGAAATCAAACTTACAAATTTTAGACCAAAGGAGGATTTTATCATATTACGTATTAATTTCATACTTAAAAAAATATATTTCGGTTATCATCTTATTATTCTCTTGGTTTTATAGTTCAAGTTCGTCAACATGTGTTATACTATCTAACTTTTAAATATAATTGACAACCTCTTGGATGTCTAACAGAAAGCCACCTATTGAAATTAGTGATGGGAATCCGAAAATCCGGATTTTCACAAAAAAACGTTATTTAAGCTACTTAAAAATTATATAAGTGTTAAATAATTTTACAATATAAAGCTGTGTACCTAAGTAAAATGTTTTTGATAAATATGTAAAAATAAAACAAAACACCAAAAAGATAAACTGCTTTTGGATTTCGGATTTGTTGAAATGCGAAAGCATTTCATAGACAAAGTTAAGTTTTTTTTTTATCAACAAATTTTACTTAGGTACACATCTTTATATTGTAATTGTATTTAATATTTATAAGATTTTTAAGTGGCTTAAATAGCGTTTTTTTGAAAAATCCGGATTTACGGATTCCCATCACTACCAAAGTTTAGACTTAGTAATTGCTTGTTTCATAGTTTTGTTTAAAATGTTATAATAGTTCTAAAACTTTCGTATAAATGAAAAAATGTTTTTTTCTAGACGAACCTCATGATCTTATACTTAGAAGCTACAAAGTACAAAGTGGTCTCGGCCCTAGACGTTTTGGAAGGTCGGCCACCTACCCTACCTAATACCCTGGCACAGCACATAGAAACGTCCAAAGACAAAAACGGATACCAGCACTCCGTGTTAAAAGTATGGCAAACTCTAATACTAGAATTCATTTTATTATAATTTATCTTAATGTTTGTGTGTTTTTTTTTATATAGATGCCCTCGTCTGTTTGCCTAAAGGTAATGTCTTCCTCACAACCAAATACACACACCGAGCCTACGTGGTCGGACCGGGGTTCGGCTGACGGCACAGACATCGGTTGGTATTTTCGCTCAGAGCATGATATTAATGAGAATGTCGTCTATGACATAACAAGACGTATAGTCACCAGAGTCGGTTTAAAGCCGTTGTGTCATTTATGTCTAATTGATCTGCACAAGATACAAAATACTGAGGATGATTAGATTAATACTGTAACGGCGTTAATCGCTTTGCCGAATAATTACTTTCATAGATATTTTTATATGATTACAAATGTTATTGGATCACGCGATAAATGCTCAGAGCAACTGTATTATCTGTTACTTATGATATAATATTTTACTCATGACATTAATAATACTATAATATTAATAAATTGTTTTATTTTAACATCTTTAAGCTGCTGTCTTTTCTTTCTTCTGGTGTGGTGCTTTCCTCTTCGCTCGCCTTTGTCGGGATATCATATATTAAATTAAAAAAAAAAAAAATTGTAGCACATTTAAATGTACTGTGACTTTGTAACAGATGATTTCTCGAGTGATGAAGACGATGAAGCTGACGTCGAAAACGTTCACAGCCAACGTTGTAAAGCTATTTACCAATACACAGCCAAACTCAACGACGAACTAAACTTAGAACCGGGTAAGGTATTCCGGTTGGGCGTTTGTTTAACATAAACACATTTTAATTTCTATTCTAACTACAATATTCGTTTTAGGCGACATCATATACGTCCACAGCAAAAAGTCAGATGGTTGGTGGCTGGGAGAGCTGAAGGGTACAACCGGCGTATTTCCTGCCACTTATGTTGTAGAAATAGACTGATCATTTTATTAACATTCACAACGTTAATCATTTTTAATAATAATAAAAATAATAATTAAATTTACCAAAGATAATACGAATCTAACAAATTTGACATCAATTTTAAAATATAATATGTACAGTTCGTTTATTTTTAATGTTAAAACACTTAAGATATAATTATTAATTATTATAAAAATAAAACTATTTCGTAATTTTGTTTTGTTCGATAAGTTTTTAATTTAATTTGTTAAACGTTTACTACGTTTAAAACATATTAAACGATGCCATGAATTATGTTCTTAAACTAATGTATCTATTTATATATATATAATTAAAATATTTTATATCAATAGTAATAATAATAATAATAATAATAATACCACATAGAGTCACAGTATAATAATAAAATAATCGTGTATGTAAATATAAATAAATAATTTTTACCACAGATAATGCTCGCACGAGAGAGGGATACCGAGATCGGATAGGTCCGATTTAGTAACGTTGCGTTACATTATCAACTGAGTAAAACATATAATTACATTTTAAAAGGTTGTCCCTATTGAATCTCAATATGCGTTGCCTCGCTGTGAGCCGGCGACCGACATAATGGTGGATCCGATTCAGCCGTGCCGTGACGTCTTGGGACGGGATGGCGCTCACGCTTGATGGTGGACGGGATGGCGATGTGGTTGTACTTAGGTGTATAAAAAAAAAAAAAGTATTGCAACGCAGTCCGATCACCACACCTGGCACTTGTTTACCGGGTTCATTTTGGTGCCCAGTGGACATTTGAAGTCATGGGCGAAGTCTTCCAGGTTCGAAAACGGCCCAATGATGCGGAACCGACCGGGAGAATGGAAGCCCGTCGTGATGCGGTTCTTAAGCGTTTCCGGTCTGTACTTGGAACACCACACGTTAGCGGCGCTAATCCAGAACATCTGTTGTGGAGTGTAGTCCTGAAGTCCTGGAAGACGGGGCTCGATACCGTGTCGTTTAGTCCACACGTTGTACGCGTAATACGCTTCTTTCACTCCTCCATTGTCGGCAATATTTTCACCTTGGGTATTGATTCCGTTGAGCTGTGTAAAAAAAAAAAAAAATGCGTCGAAAAATGTTCAATCAACTGTTATTTATTAATAGTACAAATCTTAAAAATATAACATGAATATTAAGTGGTCACGCATAGTACCTACAATAATTTATTATTGTTGTTGCGGTTAACAGCAAGAATTTGTTCATGATATTGTTGTATTTAATGCAAGATTCATTGCAAAAATTGCACATTACACAGGTTTGGCGTATATTTTGAACGAATTTTAAGTTGTAAAAAACAGTTATTATTTGATTCCTAATTAATGGCACAATGTTCTTAATGTTGTTCTATTATGTTAATAAAGCAATTTTTTATCAAGTACTTAAAATACTTTTAAAACGTTATTTTTTACAGAACTGATTAGGTAGTAGGTACCATAAAAGAAACATTTTAAGATAGTAAGATTATCTCGGTTATAATGCTGGACACACTTGACTCCCAGTCCTTTTACTTGACTCGTAAAAAAGTTGTTCTTAATAAATTGCCACATGAACGTATTCAAAAACATTCAAACTATTTGTACAATAATCCCGGTTCATTTCGGTTACTTAGTAGAATCCTTGTACAGTTTGAGTTGTTGAAAAACATTTTTTTGATATCATTATCGACCGAAAATACATTTGAATTCATAAAAGAGAAAACTTGGACTAAATAATTATTTTTATTTACCAAATTTAATAAAGATTTTTTTTGCTTACCTTCAAGCCGACTTCTTCAGCCGTGTAATTCCCGTACTGCTTGATGATGCACGACGCCTTTTCCAGATAACGTTTTTTTGTCTCTTCGGCCCACCAGTCTACCAAGTTACCTTCCTTGTCGAATTGTCTACCTTGATCGTCAAAACCGTGAGTTATCTCATGACCAATTACGAATCCGATGGCGCCGTAGTTCATGTACCGTGGACGATCACTTGAAAAGAATGCTCCTTGCAAAATACCAGCCGGAAATTCTAAAATTCAAAACCAAAACAGTAGAACAGACATAAATGTTTATGTAGTTAAGTAGCGCCAGTAGTTGCCGGACACCGATAAAAATTAATATGAGGAAGATAATTATCATAAAAAAACGAAGCGGTCATCTTCTAGATTGTATATCAGTATAGTATTATATCGATACATTATTATTTTTAATTTTGTACAGATATAATTTATTATGACCATAACAATCTAGAAGATGGCCTCGCGTTTTTGTTTACACTGGAACTGTCCCTTCTTATTTAATCTAGTCTGTGGTAGCGCTTACGGATGCTGTTTTCAATAGCGCTGTAAAAAGCATTAACGATAGCAGTTCGGCTGTGTGTAATCCAGTCTGATTTGTTGACCGGCTGTCTAAGTCTCGAGAAACTGTAGTCCGTACCAAATTTGGTAAGGTTCAAAACGGAAGTGTAATAATCCTCGTCGGTGATATCAAGCTTTAATAATACAAATACATTGAATTTATTATCAAGGTAGGTCAAAAAAAAAAAAAAAGAAGATAACAATGTTGTGCTTACATCTCCATAAAACTCGACTAGTTTTTTGTCGTCCAAAAGTTCATCAGGATACGCGATGTGAGAAGTCATTGATTTTGCTTTATCTAACGCGTTTTTCCTGAAATGCAATATATTCAACAAAATTCATAATTCATTAGAGACTTAAAAGATGAACATTTAAACGAAATAAAAGTTTGTCAAAAATCCATAAAAATTTCATTTTTAAATGAACCTTAAAAATTAAGAAGACACTATTACACCACCCATTTCTAAGGAGTATAGTTAGGCAATTTTTCGCATAATCTTACTCTAGAGCTTGAATATTGTGTATACTTATTAATACAGCAATGAGAATACTTTTTTTGTCAGACAATCACAGTCACTTCTATAGGATAAAATAAAATATTTTTCACATCAAAACTGCTTCGCGTGGGACAAGTGTGTACAGTAGACTAATAAAATTCTTACAATGTATAGAAAAAAACTTTATCTATGCCGTAGCGTTTTTATTTTTTTTTATCTATACTTAATTTTTCTCTTATAAATAAATAAAATTAGGGAAAAAATGAATCTTAACGAATAAATAGTTTTGATTGAGTTTAAAGTGTTAAAAAACTAAAAAGTTTTACTCTATCTATTGTAAAACTTTTTACAGTTACAGTCAATGCCGCCCTCAAATACTTGTTCCCCGTAAAACCGGGATTACTTCGCGGTTAAATTACGGGTGTGTAGCATCCTCTTAACTGCACAGCTTCCTAAAAACATAGTTTTCGATGGACCAGATTAATTAACTCTTACAAATATTGAGTCAATGAATCCGAATCTCAAGTCTGAATTCTGAAATTAGCTCTTGTTTTCTCACTAAATCCATACAAGTGAACAAAATAAAAAAAATTAACAACTCGGAATTTCGACGTCGGATTCAATGACTCAAAATGCGTGAGAATTTACTAGCCTAGTCCGTCGGAAAACCTACTTTTTTGTGAGGCGTGTATTACACAAAGTATTTTAAAAATTATTCCAAATATCTTGAAAAATGAATGTGTAATAGAGGTTTTAATTGTTTTTTAATACAATTTTAGTAACAGTTTAGTTTTAATCGAATAATTTCTGGCCGTTGTTTACCTAGTGTTTTCGTCCATCCATTCTATTGTCGACAAAATCTTTAACATCTCTTCTCGGATGCCCGTTACCATTTCTAAAGCGTTCTTTTTGGCGTCTTCGTGGAAAAAACGTCTCACATATAAGGAACCGATAGCCAATGAAAAACTTCCCGAGCTTATGTCCACACACTCCTTCCATCTGGGCTCTCTTTCAGTCCTGCCGGACAGTTCTGTGCTGTAATCCAATTGTCTTTTCCGCAGTTCTTCCGTCAAATAACTAACAGACGCAGCCGCTGCTCTCCATAATACGTAGTTAGCCTGAATCCTAAAAAAAATACATGAAACAATTTACAATACAGTATCTCGACGAATCGGTTACTCTGCTCGATTGACCCGATTGAGTGTTTTTTACCTTTTAGGCGTAGTGCTCAATATTGCTTCGAGGTCGGTCAAGTATCTCGGCGAATTAACAATGATAATGTCGTTGTCGCGAATAGACAACGGTCTCAATAGCGTGTTCATGTACTCGTTCCACGGAATGCTGGGAAATCTCTGTTGGAGTGTAGAAATGTACATGGGGTTGTACAGCTTGGCCGCGTCCCTGCGTTCTTCCAAGGGCAGAGATATTTTAGCCAACCCGATTTCGAAATCTAACGACTCCCTAAGTTCCCTGGTGGCTCTTTGTCGGTCGGCGCCAAACAGCACGGCAATGTCTACCATATACCTATAATAAGCAGCTACGATTTTCTCGTCCAGCCCTTTGACCAAGTATTCCCGGCTCAATCCCAAAGAAGCTTGATCCAGCTGAAACAATTACAACAGTACCCTAATGGTAGTTATTCGGGGCAGAACACGACAGTGACAAGTGGGATTACATCAATAGCTCTAGAAGTGGTGTTCTTCAAGTCGGTGCTGATAGAAAAGTCAATAAAATAGTCAACGCTGTAACCGGCTGTCCTGAATTTGTAAACGCTGTCCTTCCACGTGAAACCCGATCCGTTCCACGAATCGCCTTCAAGCACCGGCCAGCCACCGAGACTCTTCAGCATATTTTTGATCGGACCCAAACCTTGCTTTTCGATTTTATCTACACCGCACGGAAGAATAACACATATAAGTAAGGTATACGAAATAAATACATGTTTTCACATCGGACATAAGTAAAATGTACTAACCTTTGTCCATGCAAGATTTGTACAGGAGTTTCGCCATTCTGAACGGTTTCGGTTCGTTGTTCTTGATGGGTTCGGTGACGATCAACCGGAGTTTGTTCAAAAGCGAATCGCTAATAGCGCTGAACGTGGTGTGTGACGTTTTGTCGTCGTCTATGATCGTTTCTTTGATGAAGTTACCGCACGAAAACTCGTAGAAGTCATCGCAAGGATCCACCGACGGGTCCATATTGTTGATAACGGCAGAGGCTGGGAAAGGAAACACACTTATTACGTTGTCAATACAGTATAATATGTTGTAAAGAAAATATAGGATATATTTACCGGCTTTCACGCAGCCCGGAGTAAGGCAAATATTGTCTTTTTCTTGTTCCCTGGTTTGAAACAGGCTTCTGCCTCTAGCCTTGCCAATCAAAGCGTTGTTCTCGGGAGTTATCGACGGGAGATTCTCTGTGGGAATCCAAAAAGACAGATTATGTAGGTTTTCGAATTTACCAATGCAGTTACATAACGCGCACGTTGACATAATATAAAATACCACCGCTATATACACAATAACATTCAATACTTATATCATTTGAAGAAAACGGATTTTGAGAAAAACAATTTTTTTCGCACGCTGTGGCGCATGAAATAAAAACAACAGACGACGGTTATTTAAAAAAAAAAATATATATATATATATAATAAAATAAAACCGTAGAAAGTATTACATGGCATTACACTTTGAGTTAATACATCAAACAGGTAAATGTGGTTAAACATGATATGGCACGAGGTTGCTAAACCTATGCAATGAAATATATTAAACGGGTACTCTCTCGGCCTTTCATTATTCGACCGACGAAAACTATATATAGCCATACAATTGTTTCTATAGCACACAACCCGTGTTTTCGACTTATTCCATGTTAATTTGTTTTTGAGGTTTTTGCACAATTTATTTTTTTGTTTAAATATGGATACCGCGTGAAGGATTTGATATATTATGATACCGGTTTTCATAGTCTTACAGTTGATAAAATCAATAATAATAATAAAAATGAGTTATAATATTTTTATTTTTATATATCTTATATTTTTATTATTTCCTTAGAAATCAAATTGGTCAGTCAAGCGGGTGACAAGCCTTATCGTCGTACGTAGTTCTATTTGAGAATATTATTATTTATTATTATGCTGGAATGATAATATGGTAAAGTACTTGAATAAAATAAAATATTTTTACAAGTATTGAAACAAAAAACTATGTCAACTGCGTATATAAATAACACAAAATAGGTCGCTGTTTCTATCATGTAATAGAACAGTTTCTAGTGAGTGACGGTACTTTTAGATATATTGTATCTAACTTGTAATTCTAATAAGTAATAACTTCAATACCAATTATTTAAAACTAGTTATCGATCAGTCAACATTTTCAGCAACTTATTCTTCTTTTAAAAAGTTAATTAAATAAATAATATGTTACCATTTAAGTTTTAAAAGTCGATAGTGCTTTGGAAAATACTATAAAAGGTAAATATTTTGTTGTAATTTTATGATATTAATTAACGATAACAAAAAAAAAACCTATAAAATTGTAATTATTTTGGGGGAAAGTGAGTGACTTATATCCAAGTCGGAATTCCGCCAAATTATATATTTTTTTTTTATAATATGAATTACAGAGTCGTACTAGATATCTAAAAGTACCGTCTTTATCTTTACTAGACACAGTTAAATTATAAGATAAAACATTGTGACCCATTATTTTGAAACCAATTATAAATTTATAATTATTTTTTCTGTAATTAATTGTTGGTAAAGTGCACGTTAATATTATTATTATTTTATGATAATAAAAGAGTATTTGATAGTTTTGACTATAGTAAAATAATTTTAGATTACACTAAACAATAATTCGTTTTCTAAACAATTTGTCAACATTTAATAAACAACTCATAGGATGTTTGAGGAATCACTTAATGTTTAATCATTCGATACATCTCTGCTGAACATTTATGCAACCCATAGGTGCAACTAGTGGGGTGCTAGGGGACTTTAGCACCCCCCAAAGCACCCAAATTCAAATCCAATCCTTGATTTGTACGCATAATGATTTAATTATGTACATATACTCTGTTAAAATGTTTTTAATATAGAAATATTTTTGTTTTCATTACATCTTATTTGTTTGAAGATAAGAATTATGTTTAGTCAGGTATACATAATTTTAGCACCCTCTAAAATGAAGGTCTAGTTGCGCCTATGATGCAACCTATCATTAGGTGTATATTTTGTTGAACAATTTCAACAAAATATAAAATTCTAGTAGATTTTATTCCATTTCAGTTTTATTTCAATCGCAACAAGTAATATTACTCGATTGCAGGTCCTTTTATTAAGAGTGAAAATAATTTTAAGCCGATTTAATTTTAATGAAACATTCAGTTTATCAATTTATACGGTGCAAACGCAAATTCCGCGGCAAAATGATAAATAAAAAAATAAATTATTTTAACAAGGTCGTCAAGTTCGTTTTAATTTTATATTTTTTCTCTATAATCTACTAGGCATTTCTTTTCGATTCAAATTAGCTAAAAAAAAAAAAATAAAAACTGTATCCCGGGATTAGACGGAAATTGTCGATGAACAGCATTACCTACTGAGGATGTTTGTTTTTTGTTTTTCCACTCGGAGAACGGAAATTTAAAAGCTGCGACATTTCCTGACTAGGAGTAACTGCCTGTGTGAACTACATAACTAAATCTTATTATTACGGTTAGACGGGATAGAGTCTAGCGCAGTTATTATAGTTTATTAATCACTGCTGAACCAACGCAATGGATTTCGTCGAATTTGTGTTGCGCTGATTAAATTATCGCTGCTTTTTCAGCACATTATCGGGTTGAAGATTTTATAAACTATTTTAATATTATATCGTTATTATAATTATGTGGAGCAGCAATATCGACGACCGGTTGTAGTAGGCTGATCAGTATAGTATAATTTCACGTTCTCGGTAAAAACAGGTTTTTATGAGTCGCCCGTTGGTTAATGTTGTTATTCGTTCATGCTTTCTCTCTTTGTTCTATTCTATTGCATACTATACAACGCGTAAAGCTGTTTTAGTGTTATATATCTCACAAAACCCACCCGTACAATGCACTTACCCATGTTACAGCCGTGGTTGAAGTAGAGCGTGGACAAGGCTAGGGCTAGGAACAACGACGCTAGAATCGTGCAGCCCGCCAAGACGGTAAGGTTACGTTCCAAGTGGGTTCTCCTTCTCCACCATGTTGGATTTCTAGAAATAAAAATAGGAAAATTAATATCATACTTAAGCACGTCGCCGGTAAACCGTCCGAAGCGAGCTTTTCCGGTTACAGAACTTCTGTAACGCAATGGAATTGACTATTGTTGTTTTTTGCAACTACAATACTCCAAGTTTAATTTGCAATCAATGACAACTAATAGGACGGGTAAAAAAACGTATGCCAGCGTATTAAATTGAAAATTGCATAACGTTTATAGTGTAACTCGGATTGATTGACTACCACCGGCCAAAGAGGTGTCCTTGCACGTGGTCAATTTCCTCAGTGCGAGGAATAAAACATTCGATTTGTTGGCATCGACCGACTGGGACATAACATGAGGAAATAACGAGCAACACAACAAAATACTAAAAACTATTATGTCCTCGTTAGTGTTTGGACGCGATGTACTCTGGAATTAATTCAAGGTCCGAGGACGGTCGCTGTTGGTCGTAAAAGAGCTTAGCGAGAAAAACTTTAAAACAAAATACGCGTTAAATCTCGAAAGTACCGAACGTTTACATTCACGGTTATTTTTTACTCGAACAATTATAACTATTTTAAAGGCAGGGTGACATTGCGATGAACAATAATTGTTTAAATGACGACACGTAGCCGTAGCCAAGTACAAAAGCATATACTGAAGAAACCCAGCGATAGGTGATCGGCATAAAAGCAGCCTACGCTACTTTTAGCGGGATTGGTTATAAACCACAAGAATCTATTTTAAGAGCGCGTCGCAGTAAAATGTGTTGCCCTTGTCCGTCGCACGTATGATGTATACGTATAAAAAATTATAACCGCATTTCTAATAAGTAATAATTATACGACGTGCTAGTTACCGGTTAACTAACAACATTGGCTATTAAGAAATCTTAAGAAAATCAACGAGCTAAGAGAAGCTTTTGAAGTTATTTTTTTTTATAAGGTAAACCGCTTGAGTCTTTTCAACGACTATCCTGCATTTAAAAGGGTATTTAGGTACGGCGATTGACAGACAAATATACTCCTAAAAAAAAAAAAGAAATAGAAAATATACTCACCCTTCTCGGATGAACAATTTATAAGCCACTGCTGCTTTTAACATAAGGACGATTTTAAGCCTTATAGGTAATACATATTTTAATAAATTCTCAAAATTCACATTACAGGTTAGGTTGTTGTGGTATGTTTGATTATTATTATTGAAACCGATAAGTTATTGAATAAAAAGGTTAGGTCAGGAGTCAATTTATTTTTAAATAACTCTAGGGCCGAAATCAACCAATAGGCACTACTGATGAAACGCTTTAGGGCTAGGAGCAAGTACCTATGACTACCAAGTTGATAACAGTAGCTAATATAATTATACATCTGTCATGTTTTATTAAATTAATGTATTACAATTTACAATTTTATTTTACAGGCTCTATATTAAGGTAATATTTGTGTCGCAACATATGTTTTTTTAAATACATATGAAATAAAAATAAATTGCGTTTATTTCTAAACATTTAAAATGATTCTTTATAAAGTTTGAAGCCTGCGTGCTATGCTAAAGTGCCTATAGGGCCTACGAATAGCTTAACTTGGCCTTGAACAATACTCAGATACTATTTATAATATGTGCGATGTTATTATATTTGTTATAAACATATTAAATGTGTAAGCGTACAAGAGAATAGAGTAGGAAAATTATCATTTAATTTCCACTGCGATAAAAAAATATTTAACATTAATTATAAATAAACGTTTTTCTTGATGATATTCGATTTTGAAAATGAAAACATAATTAGGATGCTATTAAAGAAAACAGTGTTCACAATCTTAATTAGAAAAAAAACGTTTGTTCAAGTTTGATAGCATAATGCTTTTCAACCGATTATTGTAATATTATAATTAATATAAGTATAGTATTATTAATTGGGGTATTTTATTGATTCATCGGTGATTCATTATATTGATATCGGTTACATGGTTCTGTAGGCTATACAGAGATTTGCTATATTAAATTTGTTAATTTGTTATTTATATTCAATCATACTAATAATAACCACGCGTGGTGCTATCTACGATGTTGCGGAATACACGCTATGTTTTGTTAATTATGTTTTTTTTTTTTAAATGTAATAAGTTATTCTTATAATAATAACACAAAAAAAAAAAAAAGAGAGAAAAACACTTGCTTTGAAGACGGACCCGAACTCGTGAAATCGGCCGTGACCAATTGACCATATCTTGATATGATTAAACGGCCGCTGCCGCGTTAACACTTTGGGAGTGTATGTAATATCTATTTGCGTGCAAGTGTGGTGTGTATACAAAAACAAAAGAAGTGAAAACAGGAAAAGCCTTTTGTGTCGAGAGCACACAAAATCGCGAGTACAGGGTCCAAAAATTGATGTTGTGTGTCGATGATCTGACAGAAAAATGAATTATAAAACACTAAATTACATTATATTGTGTTACCTATAGAACATAGTATTACATTATATTATTATTATAATATATAACTATTCACGTTTCCTGGGAGTTTCTGTTTTCTCCGACCGGCACGTTTCTATAGAGATTAATTACATTTGTGTATGTTGTTATAGACGGTTCATTCTCATACGGAAGTCTAGTCAAGCGATATAATAATAGTAATATATATAAATTGGAATAGTATATCATTTGTTAAGGGTTAACGTTTAATGCAAGTCACCGACAAGTTAACCACCGCTCTGAAAAATTAGACATTTCGTATCCGAAATTAAACCAAAAAAACCGGCACTTAGCTTATAGATTTAATTATTCAAAATAAAATCCTAAACGATACTTAGTTCACCATCGTTGATTTTTAATGGCCAAATTCACGGACGTGTGTCACCTTATCGGACGGTTAACAGCTATAGACAACATTAATATAGTCTAAGATAGTTGGCCGAACGACAACCGCAGAAGAGGTCATAACGATGAGTCAAAACGAACTTTGCTCACGTTTAAAAAAACACCGCCGATTACTTGTTACGATTCTGGACGAAAACCACGTCATGTGTAAAAATTTGCATTATTATTTGTATAATAATCGCCAACCCGTCTGTGAACTACATTCTGAGAGATCATTGACCGGGGAGGCAAACAAGTTAAATGAATATGGAATGTCTTGGTCATTATTTACATCAGAATTTGAATATTTGGCTTCAAAAACATCTTTAAAACGTTATGCGGAAATTTTTTTTAACGTTTTGACATTTAGACGAAACCTAACCGTTGATTTAACTGATAATATTTGTGTTCTGTGCGAAAATATTATGGTAAATTTACATAAATAAAAACCACGTGCATACAGCATTATAGTTTGTTGAATTATCCTGTACATTAATATACACTGCCTTCGCGCTGGTAAATTTACATAGTTTTGAAGATTTCTTTTTCCTATTTTTTTTTTTATCGTTGAACCGAATTTAAACCCTGAAATCAGTCGGTAAGTCAGCAAAAATTCAGCTCATAAAAAATATTGTCAATTAAAATTATTGATATTTATAAATTTCAAAGCGCTAAAATGACCACAGAACAATAATATTGCACCAAGATACATAGACAGATATGTTTACAAACTAATGACTATCGCGTAGTCATCGAGATTTGGTCAACAGTATTTAAGTATTTAATAAATGTCAAACAATAAAGTCCAGCGCATTGACCAGTATGACGAGTTTTCGTTTAAAAGCAAGTAGATTAATAATCTAAAACCTTTATTTTGCACTTGTTGCTTTAATTTTAAATATTTTTGGACATTAATTAACACATTTATATTTTTTACTGACATTACAGTCTGTTATTTTCATAGAAAGTATTTCATTTTTTGGTCATTCTTAATAAACTTGTATAAAATAGTTAGAAATTTACTACATTTATTTTTATTTAAAGTTGTACTTTTTTTTCTTAAATGTATTTACTTGTTTGAAAGAGTTTGCACTATTCATTTTTATTTTTATTTTTTTTGGCATTTTGCATTGATTAGATCACTTTAAAATGGATCTTGAACATTTTTTAAAACATTATTTAATTTTTTTATTATAAACACATTTTTTAAATGGCATCTGTATCCTATTTGTAATTATCGTTTTGATGATAACATTGTAAAATTTATCTAGTATTTCTGCTAATCGATAAGAAATCTAATCAGGGCCGTAGACAGGCTCGAATCCCAAAAACAACAGCAAGAACCTTATGGTCTTTGGCGGGTGTCAAAATTAAAGTCGATTTCTTGTCGTCTTCACTCAAGGTTCTCGTGTAAACCGCGTGGGCAAAAAGTGTTAAATGACAGTTCCCATCCGAGTAATTAGTCAAGTCTGTGGCTAGTCATTGGAAATAAGCTCGGCACCAACTAAGTGTTATGGTCCGTTGCTTTTGTTGTTAACAAACTTTGGCAACGTTATACATGGAAAAAATGTCAAAAACAGCGTTTGTTAATTAACGATTACCGTACGGCGCCCGGCGGGCTTTGGTCAAAACTCAAAAAAAAAAAAAAATTGTTCCTCCTACAATTTTTTGTGACCGGCATAAAGCCAAAATTTGATTATGTAAACTCGTTAACACTCGTCTGGCCAAGAGTGCTAATTTTTGTTTTTGAATTCTGCCAACTTCATGATTAGTAAAAGGGTTATTTAATATATGTGATAAGACAAGCGAAAGCAAGTTTTTTTTTCAATCGAGTCCATTTATTATTCTGGGATGTTGTCTGAGATGTTAATGCTTGTCGTGTGACAATGCTTGAACGAAATGTTATGTATTGTATCGCTATGACATTATTTTTAAGTGTGTATGTGTTCATCATAGGTGGGCTTGCATTATGCGGTGTTAACAAATGACAATTTTTTGTCGTTAATGATTTTCCGTACAATATAGAGGGTTTTACTATAAAATATATAGTCTTTTTTATACAATTTGAAAAAAATACCAGTTACCGGAAAAGGTCGTCGTCGTCGCCGCCTGCTAAAAAATCTATACTATTTTCTAACGCGTGAAA